AATTACATCAGAGTTCCTGATTTGATAGGACACGCCTATGACATGACACGGCCCTCGGATCTTTCACTGACAGTCTATCCAGGGCTGAAGATTTACTTTGCTTGCAGAAGTGCAGTAGAACACGATGGAAAGAATGGGGAAATGGGGAACATGGCAGAATATTGCGGGTGGAAACCGGGGAACGGCTGGCAGTGTTCGCTTGCTTGACCCAGCCTGGCCTGGCCAGATCAAAAAAAGATCGTGAGAATGAGGGGAAGCCGGAGAAGGGAAAGGGGAGATAACAACATATGGATACTTGGTCACAATGGGAAACTAAAGTGGCCATTGCTTTGTACCACGCACTGCGACTGGTGACTAGGGACCGGCATGGAAGACCGACTCGACCGACTGATAAGAGAATTGGCAGTCAGTCGAAGGAAACGCCATGTTTAATTCAACGACACTACATAAGTACCGCGACACGCCTCCGGTACCTTTGTTGGTGGTATGATTGTGCGGCAGCTCTAGCCAAGACAGATGTATCGTCTGATACAAGGGATACATTAACAGTTGCCTTTTTTGTCCATCTGGATTTTGGTCAACGAGTCACCTGTCTTGTTTTCCTACAAGCTAGCTCAGACGGAACCACTCCGTGTTTCTGCTCTTATCAGTACCTCCGCCATGTACTGTACCCTTCCGGATGAAACAGTTCTACACTCTTGACCGTTATTTCAAGGTTAAAAAAGGGATCATCCTCTCCAAGATGAGACAAGAGAGGGCCGGATACGAAAGGGAAAGATAAAGAAAAGTGTTGTTGCGTTGTACGCTGTGTTGTCTCTTCAACCCAGCAGGTCATCAATGGCTCTATTACAGACGCCCCTGTACCTAGGCTGCATTCCCGTTGACAAGTACAAGTCACCTTACCCTCGTGGTACTCTGTAGAAACAATGGAAATAGCGATTTCCAGGAAATCATTCAGCGTTACGTTAACTCACCACCCAATACGATAGCTCGAGCCAATACAAATCCAGTAGCACAACAGGGACAGAGGGAAAGAGAAAAATTCAAAACCGGGCTGGAAAAAGCTTCTGGAGTCGTCAAGGTGGATAAGGATAGTGGTAGAAGATCGGTCTTGGGTGAAAGCTTGGACCAATCGGGGCAAAAATTGATTGCTCGTGGTGAATGAGCCGCTTCCAAGGATACCTACTTGTCTGTCTGTACCTTGGTAGTTATCGCTATCAATCTGGGCTTACAGTACACAAACAGTACAGTTTGGCACGCCAAAAAGCCTGATCTGCCTTCTCGATATCGTTAGTAGACGGCGAAGTAGACGCAACCTACACAATTGATCCAAAGCATCTTATTTGCTTATCCGGCAATTTTGTTGAAGGCCTCAATTTGGTCTCTCTGATTGGGGAACACTTTTCCCACTCTCTAGGTCGTTGAAAAAAATTCGAGAAGGAAAAAAAAGACCCTCTTTCATTCTCAGGCCGAATTCGACAAAGATTTTAAGCAAAAAGTCCGGGGTGGCCAATCAGACTCAGGCGGTAACTTCAAGCTTGTCTCTGAATCGGCGATCTCTTATCGCCTAGAATTTTGCCTGAAGCTCTTGTCTTGTCGTTGTCTTGGGGTCAACTGACAAGGAAGCTTATTTAGCGTGCCTCCTTCAACCATGAGGTCAACGTTAACATTTCCCTGCATGTCAGGACAAGAATAGGAGTAGAGGACTCGACTCGTGAGCGGCCGATCTGGGTAATATCTTGGCAGGTCTTGCATACAGCTTTTGTTGTCGTCAACTTGCAAGTGTCAGATTGACATTCACCCTCCTGAGGGTGTTGGCATCCAAAGACAATCAAATCATCAACCATTTCATGCCACCCATGTCATTTAATGTCACATTATTACACCAAGTATGTACATACATACAAAGAAGGACAAGAAAGCAAATGACGGGGATCCGGTCTCTTCCTATTCGCCAATAGACGCCGACCCATTCTCATTACATAGCTTTTACTCGATTGCATCAAACAATTATATCCCACCGGCACATTTAAGCTGGATAGATAGAGTACCGGTATTTAGGTGCAATTTTATTTCTCCTTTTGGACCCTGTCTATCTCCTCTGGCCTAGCAGCTAGCTCACTTTTGTATTCCATCACAAGACCACGGCTGGTCCGTTCTATCAGCCTAGTCCCTTTTTTTTTTTTTTTTTTTTTTTTTTTTTTTTTTTTTTTACTAAACCAACCCCTATGGTTATCAAAAAGGGTGCATAATAGTGAAGTTGAGAGAAAACCATTGACCCTTTTGGCCTTGCGGCGTAGCGATTTCCATTCCCCCACGATTGGCACAAATGACGCGATGCTACAGTACCGCTTCCTCATCCGCAATCCATCATCATGAGAACTCTCGGAGAGGGAACCCGATGTCTCATCCGATGTCTCATGTACCTATATCGCCTCACTTGTCTTGACATGACTTGTTGGTGCGCATTGCTTTCCGAGATCAAGTGTTATAATGAAAGCATCAGTTGGCTGGAGAAGGAAACTCAAGTTTATGGCTGATGATTGATATACTGATACAGTACCTGTTATCGACGATAACACTTACTCTACTATCTCCCTCGCGATCCTAAACTCTGATAAGGCAAGGCAAAGCAAGTGCTAGGTTGACAATCCAATCAAGATCCCTAAATGAAAGTTGGTTGCTTTTTTGAAATTATAGATAGGTATTCGTGCCTGCCTACTATCTAATCAATTATTTACATGTTGAATCTCCTCCTCAATATTCTCAACTCCAACTTTATTCTATCACCATCATCCTCGACCACTAAAAATTACGGCAAAAGCCTTACCATTTGCCAAGACTACCAATCCCTGAGGCTCTGCCCGTGATCAACCTTATTCAATTATTGACCAGTCTTAGCAGGTACCGGTCACTATCGCTAAGGCCGTACGAACCAGCAAAGGAACAACGTACCGACACTAGGAGACCAACGAATTCGACTCTACGAACGAGACACGAAGAGATCATCGCGTCGCGGGAGTGATCCGACCTGACCTACAACCAGGAACACACGCTTCCGGTGCTAGCCTTGAGCCTGGGTCCAGGTCCGGGTCCAGGTTCATGGTCCAGGTCTGGGTCTTGGTACAGTATCCTTCCAGCTGGAGACAAGACCAGTCCCAACCGGCCGGCGGCGAGATTTTCGTGGTAGTCGACCCTGGACAAGTCGCCCACGATAGGGTGGAGGCGAGGTCAAAGAAGTGCCGAAATAGCGTTCAAATTAGGTAAAAATAACGGCCGACTCTCCAGTCAAAAATTTTTACCCCGAATCCATTTCTCATCGACTTGACAACACGTCCAAATCTTTAAGACTGCCCATTTGCTCGTGCAACTGATACACATAACTGATAACGATGTTGTCGTGGGATGGTCAGGAATATGGAGCCATTACCTTGCCGTTTGGTCACCAGACTTGAAAACAAAGCGGATGAAGCGAAGCAACCCGACAGTACGGAGTGTCCTGCCTGCCTGTGGACAATTACACAGATGTTTTAACCAATCCATCTTGGTGGATGAGCTCCCACTATCGGACCGCTAATCTTGTGTGCAGTAGACGCTACAGTTGATATTTGACATGCGGTAGGAGAACATTTTCTTACACAATCCCTTCGGATGTTTTTACCGGATTCAATATAAGTGTTGTCACAGAATCCATCATGAGAGATTTCGCTTGTTACGAAATGAAGAAAATCGATGCGCCATAGCCCTAACTATGCAGTAATGATTGATATGGTTATGTACAACTTTGAAGTCATGTTGACGCATCCGACTTACATGCGGGAGTGTCGTTCAAGGATTACACAGTACCCCGTCACCTGTTCTCTACATCGAGTGATTGGCCAGCTCTGGAACCATGACAATGTTCTAGAAGCTTCAAATTTCAAACTGGCGGTCTATCAAATGCAATCGGTCACAAGACCTTTTGAATAAACGTTTCGCCTTAAAAAAAGAAATTATACGGGAAAATAACATCATATGATGACTGTCTGTATCTGTTTAATCATTCAAGGATACATCGGGTAGTGTTCCGCGCTGATAGCATTGGTGTTGTGCAAGTTTTAATGTTGTGCACCCAGAATAAGCCGATGGCATTCCGACGCCGCACCTGGAATTAACATCTCCGCGGAGGCTGAGTCCACTAATATTCTCACCCAATTCCCCGGATCGACGTCATAAATCCCTGTAAGCAGACAACGCCTGGTTGGCCTGGATTGAGTTTGGTCGCTGTTAGCACAAAAGACAAAATTAGTAGGTCAGCTCATGTTACTCAGATCGAGCGTCTTGGGCTGTTTATTTGTGTTACCTAAAACTCAAACCGCCAATCTGTCTGGTACCCACTAAGCTGAGTTTGGTGGTTGTTGTATGTATGGTGTACAGAAACTCTTATCATGCCCAACAGAAGCACGTCAGTTATTTCGCAATCTTGGTGATGAATCCTACAGGTGAGATTAGATGTTGTTGGTTCTTCTCTTATCGGCGCCGAATTTGGCTAATGTGCGTGACAACCTTGGAGAGTTTCGGGCGGGCGATGCTCACTGACCCCTCACCAACGCCTCGGCTTACAATAGCTGGGGACACGGATAGTAGAGGAGCTTCATCAATATCTAAGCGTTCTGCGGAGATTGACAAACTAGTTCCCCGGATCTCCTTTTTCCCCAGATAACGGGCCTAGCTCGGGATGTTTTGTTTGTCCGTGTGTTGTTGCATAATAGGTACCTACCTTAACTTCACGAGAGCCACACCACCCTTACTCTTACTCATCAAGGAGGCGGTGACATTCCCATCCCGAGAACGGCTGTCTTAACCTGTCAGTACCATTCATTATCTTGCATGGGAGCTTTCCCCAACATTTAACGGGAGGCTATTATAGCCTTCCCTAGTCGTATCTTTAGTTCCATAGTGGAACATAATTGACTTGAGTAAGATTCACGTCTCTATCTATAAACCGCCTCCTGGTAACATCAGCTGGATCCGGGGTGGTTGGGTATCCAATTTCCTGATCCCATGATGTTCATCTCCTCCAAAGGCGGCGCCCTCTCTATCCATGTGTGTCCGGTATCCTCGTTCCGTCCAGCATCGTGACTATGAGCAAGTGATATGTCCAGATAGCGCTGTCGTGCCGTTAGCTTGAGCCTCAAACCTCATGTCACCTCTTGGACACGGCAACTTACCCAATCTATGTTGCTAGCTGCAGTATCCATCCAAGCCGGATCGAAGTCGAGCCCCTCCGTCCCCATACTCGGAAAACTCATGCTAGTTCCTGCATCTCCCGTGAGACCCAGATCCAGGGGTGTCTGTTCTGATGTAGATCCCGTCGAGGTGTCTGGGTTGATTTCAGCATGTGGATTATTTGTCACCTCCATGTGAAAAGTCCTACTCAGGCCTAGAGATGACAAAAGTCCCGGGTCCGCTTCGATCGAGCCCATGGTGCTGGGGTCTACCGAGCCAGCACCTAGTGACGAGGATTCGTTTTCGACGCTGATAATAGACATAGTTTGTTCGTAAGTGTTTGTCGATTGACTAACTGGAACCCCGAGCTTAGTTAACATTGTCGCCAGTGTGTCTGCTGTTTTTTTGACCTCGGACACGTCTTGTGAGACGTCGGACCAGATAAGATGAGATCGCTTTATCATGTCGATAAGTTCATTCTTCGTAGGCGCTGCGTAGTCGCCTCCGATTTCTGAACAGTTTTCGTTCTTAACCACAAGATATATTACCATAGCAGCCAGTAGAAAATCATGGACTGAGAGGGAGGAGACAAACCAAGCATGATGGCTTAGAACATGACCCGGTTTAGAAGCTTCCCAGATTATATGTTGATAGTTTAGCAAAGACAAAGCTCCTTCAAGACATTGCCTGCGTGAGTAGTCATGCTCTCGTTGTGGGATTGCTTCTGCGAGATATCGTCGGTGCAAGACACAGCGACATTTGTTGTAGAGAGCAGTCAGCCCGAATCTTTGAATGAGTAATACTGGCGGATCTCCAACGCACTCATCAAGTGGACGCACCATCATGAAAGCGGGAACATTTTGCCAAGTTTCTTGCAGTAAATCGTCCAGTTTCATGACATCGCCGTAGCTTGGCGGCGTCAAGGCATGAGCCTGCCGTGCGATTTGTCCAAACACTCGTAGAATCTGTGTCTTATGGATAGGATATGTCATAGACGTCCAATCTGTCGAAGGTCGGCTCGAAGGTAGCTCTGTTGAGTTTTCATCAAAGTCTTCATCCTGCAAGTTTCGTGGTACTGCAGTGTCCGTTTCGATTCCCTGTAGCATACTAGGAAGTCCCATGTGGAAGGAGACCAGAAACTCAACTTGAATAGCCATGTTCCACATGCGCCGTCTCATCTCACCTTCAAAGGGCGAAATGTTTGCCAGCTTACTTGGATCTCTATGAAGACCCATCTTGAGCATCAAGCGTATACACACGCCAGAGAGCACGTAGCAATTCATCTGGGCTGCACGGTTGAATAAGAAGTGTGACTCGACATACAGCAAGAAAGCAGGTAGAGTTGCTGATGAAGGCTGTGTGTATTTACCCCAGACCAGAGCCCATCCTGCACATGCTTTGTAATGACGAACTCTGTCAAGCGCTGGGAGGGGAGAGTCGCCTTCGAGTTCACTTGAGTTGATGAATTTGTTAAAGAAGACGCCGAGACTTAGCATCATAAACAATTGAGCTATCCAGTGCAGTGAGGTTCCCTCGGGGTCTTGCCAGAACTTTGCATACTGTCTGGTGAAAGTCGGTCGATGGACAATATCTAGTGCCTGTGAGTAATTGCATTGTACGCGTCTGGTAGAGGACATTTACGCTGTGAGGGACTCATTGAGGCAAAATAGCGTGAGATGAGTCTATCTGCTACCTTGCGATCCGGTAGACGACCTAACAACTTCTCTCGGTTTCTTGGACCAGCTCTGGTGTTCAACATGAGTTCCGTAGGGTCGATCTCATCTGCCAAAATTTGATCTTCCTCCGTATCATCAGGCTGGTCAAAATAACTCTTCAGGTCTTCAATCTGAACCATTATCAGTAAGAGCTCTAGATATGCCAAACACCAATAAATACTCACATCTTCCAGCATGGCCATACAATGTGTTGCTCCCACATACGTTGTCGTCTTGTCACCTCTCACTACTTGACCTTGCACCTCCGGACCAGTAGCTCCATTGGCAACTCTTGATCTGCTTACTGAACTCGATCCTTCTGTCTGGACTGTGTTTTCAGAGTCCATCATCTCCCGTACCATACCTTCAAGCCGCTTTAGCCTCGCTGACATGCCTTTAGCTGGCCGCTTCTTCTCAGGCTTGGGAGCATAAGTGCACTGCAAAGATCGACCCTTTTTGTCACATTGGCTACATGGCTGCTCTCTGTCGCACTTGAGCTTTGAGTTTCGACATGGTGCACACGAAAGGAGGATGCGAGAACGTTTTTGACGAGCTTCAGATGATGACTGTTCGTTATCGTTTGGGCTAAGGTCTAGCTCCATGGTGAGATATGACGATGTCCTGTGTTGTATTGGCGTTCTTTTTCTTTCAGAAAAGGTTTTGTAAGCAAGAGTATGTTTTTCGGTCTACTCGCGTTTGCTTGTTTAACTTGAATGCGACAACTGTGTGCTTAAATGTAAGACGGAACTCGTAAGTTGTCTGATCGTGAAACCTGCCCAATCACAAGCTACTGAAAGAACTAGCGACCACTTATATAAGGCACCTCAGTACCCAGGTACCCGATCAGCAAAATTCATTGTACCGAGGAAAACTAGAAAAGCACTTTGAGCATTATGACAGTACGACCAAGAATCATTTCTCATTTGTATGGTTTGATAGTCGATGCTCGATTAACTCCTTCAATCACGGCTGCAATCTACCCTGTAACCAGACAACAAAGTCAAGCTATAACAAGATAAGCTGTTAACAGGAACCGCCAATGTAACGCATCGTAAACTCGTAAATGCAATTTTCCATTCCCAAATAGCAAAAAAAGAGAAACTCCTCTATGAGTCCGGTGCACCTGGCAGCCTTTCTATCACATACTTGGCACGTGCCACACTCATGATGGGCACACCAGGAATCTTGCGTAGTCGTTGTTTGAGCGCCTTATCGTTTGTGCCCACAATGTAAATTCTGTCCTTTTGCACTCGGTCCACCAAGCAGTCATCTGCGTATACACCCTTGTGGTCGCACTCAAGTCGTGTCCATCGCTCGTCTCGCGCAACCCTCAACGCCAGTCGGTACTTGGGTCCAAGCTTTTCCAACTCTGTCGGATACATGTCAGTAATGATTCAAGACGAGTTGAAGAACAATAACATACCAGCCATGACACATGATGTGATGATGGGGTTACACTTTGCATAGAGGCAATCCATCATGGAGTCGAGAAGAGAGAGCTTTCGCTGGACTGAGTGACTGAGGAAGTTGGTATCGACGAGAACGCTGTAGGGCGGGACAAGAGCTGTGTTGTGCTGGAAGAACATGTTGCTAGGCATTTGGGGAGCTTCTCGGATAATCTCGCCATTGATGGTCTTCTTTTCCTTCTCCTTCTGCGCCAACTCAGCCTTGAGCTTGTTCTCCTTCAACCTGGCATCGCGACGACCGATAACTCGCTTGACCTATTCTTCATAGTTAGCATGCTGAAATTTGGGCAACTTTTGCGCCGCTTATCGATAAGACGCACCTCTGCGAACTTGCGAGTCTTTTTCTGGACACCCATGGCTGATACTTCCTCGGTGAGATTTTAAAATCCGAGTCGCAAGAGTTTTTACAGGTTTCTGGCGATATTGCTGTCGTGGATTGCCGAGGATTCGTGGGTTGAGGGGGTATCTTTGAGGTATTGGAGGGTATCTCTGCTCTTTGGCAGACTCAAAAAAGTTATCGCACTGGCAAGATTTTGCCATTGAAGGATGGAAAGCGGTGGCAGGAGTGGGGCTTAGGGGCTCCAAGTTCCTTCCACAGGTACCTGCGCACGGACCAACTTATGCGCTGCCGCTCGACGCGTTTCATTTCTCTTAGTCGCGTAAAGTGATTGACATTCACAGATTTGGTAGGACTCTAAGGCTTCAGCTTCATCACCGACAATCCATACCACATCTCATCCAAAATGCCTCCCCAAAAACCCGAAGAACGTGGCGAGTCATCAAACTCAGTCACAAAAGCAGCTCTCGCCGCCTCCACCAATGGTGTCGCAAATTATGAACTCCCATGGTATGCTTGTTCTCTTCACTCTGTTGAGACTATCGCTCACTGCTGGTTGCTAGGGTGGAAAAGTACCGACCAGTCTTCCTCGACGATGTTGTCGGTAACACAGAAACGGTTGAGCGACTAAAGATTATCGCTAGAGAAGGAAACATGCCTCATGTTATCATCTCGGGTATGCCAGGTATCGGAAAGACCACCAGTGTTCTATGTCTGGCCCGGCAACTCTTAGGCGATTCATACAAGGAGGCGGTCCTGGAACTCAATGCCAGTGACGAGCGAGGTACGCATAATTTCACTTACACGATCGATCAACCGACTGACATAACTAGGTATCGACGTCGTCCGAAACCGAATTAAAGCCTTTGCACAAAAGAAGGTCACTCTGCCCGCTGGCCGCCATAAACTTGTCATTCTTGATGAAGCCGACAGCATGACTTCAGGTGCCCAACAAGCCCTTCGACGAACTATGGAAATTTACTCCAATACCACACGATTCGCATTCGCCTGCAACCAGTCCAACAAGATTATCGAGCCCCTGCAATCACGATGCGCCATCCTACGATATGCCAAGTTAACAGACGCTCAGGTTATAAAACGACTGACGCAAATCATGGATGCTGAAAATGTCGACTCCAGTGACGAAGGTAAGGCTGCATTGGTCTTCAGCGCCGAGGGAGACATGCGGCAGGCCATCAACAACCTTCAGTCTACATATGCCGGTTTCGGTTTCGTGTCAGGAGACAACGTCTTCAAAGTTGTCGACTCACCTCACCCAATCAAGGTGCAGGCAATGCTGAAGGCTTGTTATGAGGGCAACGTTGACTCTGCACTTGATACGCTTCGAGAGCTCTGGGATTTGGGCTATTCGAGCCATGATATTATCAGCACTATGTTCAAGGTGACAAAGACAATCCCAACACTGAGCGAGCATTCGAAGCTAGAGTTTATCAAGGAGATCGGCTTCACGCATATGAAGGTCCTTGAAGGTGTGCAGACACTGCTTCAGCTCAGTGGATGTGTTGTTCGCTTATGCAAGATCAATATGGATCCCAAGCGTTTTAGGATGTAAGATCTAAGGACAGGCGCATAACAGGCGTTGGAGTTGGTATTTGTCTGAGCAAGGAAGGAAAAATATGGTAAAAATGTGATTTTACACAGATGGCTCAATAGTCATCTTTAATGTGAAATATGTACGCCGTTGTACCCCCAGCAGTTACAGTCAAACTTTTCAGTGAAATTTTCATCGCTTCCTGGCTTTGTTTCCCAACATGGTGATCATTTGCCGTCGCCTTTGATGTATTCCTCCTCATATTGTTGCCACTTGGCCCTATCACCCATCAACCTCCGTTGCATTCTTACTCGTTGCTCATATGCTCTGAGTCTTGAGTCCGCCTCGATCATAGCACCTGGAACCATACCACACATTTGTAGATATCTTGAAATGGTTAGTGAAAGGCAAAGCTGTTCTAGGATTTGACCCTACACTTTGAATTGAACCGTCATGGATCGATATAGCGGCGACCAGACGTACCCGGCAGCACCCAATATCGCAGCACCGATTCCCCACTTGACAGCACCCGCAATACCTCCTCTGGCTGCTTCCCAAGCGGCGTCGTTGGCCTCCTCACTTTGCATAGCATCGTGAGTACGCATGATGACGAATTGAGTGATGCTCTGTGTGCTCAATACCTAATTTATGAGCTCAGGGTTTTGGGCGACCTATGACCAGCCTGTTTGAAGATTCAATTGAGGAATTGAATAAATGAATTGATGAAAAAAAATCCTCACAAAACATCAGACGATGTGGCCGCGAGCCTTGTAGAGAAACCGAATGCCGCATGCCGCATAGTTCCGCTTCCATGACACAATTCATTGGCCGAAATGTGGCGCGAGCTCTCAACAGCCACACTCACGGCCGCAAGAACACGGCGAAACGTCGGCCCCGACATCGTGCCCCGCTATAGCGGATTCGCTCATTTAATGAATTTTTTCTCTCTAGCTACCACCTTTTCTCTTTCCACTCTCTTCCATGGACCAACAGGCTCCGGGAACGAAGATGACACGCATGCAATAACCAAGAATGGTGCCTGGTTTCGCAAAGTCCCGTGCTTCTTCTCCTTCCTCATAAAACGTCGCTGAAGCTTTCGCTTGTTTTCTTTTTCTTCATTGTGAGAAGAGAAAACTGTTCTTGACTCAGTTGTTTTATTTATTTCTTGCTACCACTAACTCTACATCACCTAATTGAGCAAAGTTGCCCAAAATGGCTGAAAATGTGATGGCCGCCTACTGGGATCTCCCAGCTGTCTCCCGGTACGTCACTTTTCACTTTGATGTTCCTTTGTACATCCTGCTAACTATTCTCTAGAAACCTAGTTACTGCTCTAGTGATGACATCCGTCACTTGCAAGCTTAACCTTGTGTCGGTCTACTCGGTGCTTTATCATCCGACATATTTGTGGATGTTCCCTCCACAGATTTGGCGCCTCGTAACATCCTTCTTCGTCGAGCTGAACCCCATCAATTTGCTCTTGAATTCGTTCTTTCTGTATCGCTACTGCAATCAGCTGGAGATGGGAAACGCTCGTTTCTCGCGCAAGGTCGATCTTGTCTTTTACATTCTCTTTATCTGTTCAGTAATTCTGGTAAGCCTTTGTCTACACACCCGTGCCTTGCATCATTCCTACGTGTCCCTTTCAAAACCCCCCTCATATATCTGCCCGGATAGTGCTTTGCCTCTTCAGCTATCACGGTTCCTGGAAATGAGGAAGATTACCCTTGCACTTCGGACCGCCCATCATTCGCATTTCAGGGTTGGTCTGCGGTGCAGGCATGGTGGGATGTCTATATGGATGGCTTGTGTGACTCCCAATTCACTCAAGTGGTTTTTTAGCTCCCTACATTTCTATATCATAGCAATAAAACATTTGTATCCCAAACACGTACCCATATGCCTTGTGCCTGTACAGAGGTTAACGACGTCGCTAGATGATCGACTACCTTACCGGCTTGAACAGCATGCTGTACTTGAACGGCCTCATTCTTGCTATGGCATACACCGTGACCCAGGATCAACGAGGTCAAAAGACGCAATTCCTCGTCCTTACCATTCCAGCCCAGACTCTGCCGCTGTGCATGATTGTCGTTACTGCCCTCATGGCAGGACCAAGTGCAGCTCTGGTCGAAATTGAGGGTTTGTTCGCCGCTCATCTCTACGACTTCCTTGCACGCCTCTGGCCCGAATTCGGCAATGGCCCTCGACTGTTGAGAGTCCCTTCCTGGCTTGAGCGTCTCGTGCAGACCCCCAGAGTTCTTAACCGCGGCTTTGGTACCGCTATCCGACCTGGTAACTCGGCCTCTACTGGTAGCAGCAGTGGTGTGGATAAGGGCGGTCCCTTGCCAGACTCGTGGCGGACTCGTGGCCGAGGTCAGCGACTCGGCTGAAACAAGTTCTTAGTCAATAGTCTATTAGTCACTTGCAGCATGTGTACAATAAGATAGAAGAATAATTATCGCTATATACCCTTGCGCCCCGTCATGTGTATCGTATCGATCTAGAAATGTCCTAATATTGTAACACCTAACCAAATAACTCCAGGCTCGAAACTTCCAACACTGCTGTTCACTCTGTATGTGAACGCAAAATATCTATCATCCATAAACGCGGCTATTGCCACTTAGCATGGGGGACTTGTTTGCCTCGCGGCGCTTCAGGTATTCACTGTTGAACCCCGCAGGTGCCTCGCTTGCTATCACTGGACCTCCTCCAAGAGGCCGATCCTGGAACCGAGGATCAAGAACAGCCAAAGGTTTGGAGATTCTCATTTCACGAGTGGGATCAGTTTCGTCAGCGATTGGTGTTGCCGACACCAAGCGAACCTCCGGGGGGTTCTGTTTCTTAGGAATGACAAGTTTGTGGAGGGATGGGAAAGTGAGGGAGGGCAGTCTTGGCCTCGTGGCTTTAGGAGCTTGTGGTGGAGGAGGTGGCGGGACAACTAGCGGTTCATCAACATCACTCAGTCGAGCAGGCGATGGGCCTCGGCTAACATTCTGCGAGTTTGTTCCATTCGAAGCTGCCTCGCTGAAGCTGCCACGGTTTAATCCAAAGTCGTCAGTGGCTTTGAGGTAAGTCTGAAGGCAATAAGAGTCGGGAGCGGATGGCTTGCGGGTGGTTGTGGTGATACGAGGATCAGGAAGTTTGCTAGCAACACGTGGGATATATGCTGGGTGTGTTGGGAGAGCGCTGTTGGGACCATTGCTCTTCGAGTACGGTGCATAGTGGTAATTGACGTTTGTAACTCCCTCCTCCGAATTGCGTTCGAGGCCATCGTAGTATTGGGCGTTGGACATGGTCCGTATATGTCCTCCAGGTCTTGGTGGAGCATGTACCGTTGGTAGCTTTTGCCCTGTGCCATCGTGGAAGTAAGAAGACTTTTGGATACCGTACATAGAGCGATGGTTCATTGGAGCGTCAGGTGATGGCGACTCGATCTTGATACCTGCTCCACGGCGCTGTCGGCTTCGTCGACAGTAGATCCAGATCAGCCAAGCCATACCAGCCAGTCCAAGACCACATCCTACTGCAATGCCCACGATAGTGCCAGTCGTCATGGAGCCAACAGGAGCACCGTCATCGCCTGGAAGCGCCTCGTTGGTGTTTGGGTCGGTGATGTTCACGAGCGTTGCGGTGAATATTGTTCCACTGAGGCCAATGATGTCGCCCTTCTCTGGTTCTTGCATGCATCCAGCTTTCAGTGCTACGAGGACTAAGAATATGTCAGCATGTCCATCATAAGTCGGGGAAATAGGTTGACAAACAGTTTGCGAGGAACTTTTGATTCGACGTTGATTGTAAACAGCTGATGCATTCCTTATAGCTTACGCTCTTGATGATGGAGTCTTCAGCTTCACAGTAGTCAAGCTGATTCTCTATGTTTGACTTCAATAACGATTTCGTTAAAGCATCCTCAAGAGATCCACAGGAGGTTTCGATGTTGCAAGGAGAGTTGATGGTACCAGAATCCACCGAATCAGGGTAAGAGTAGAGGCAAACATCAAAGGCATACCGGACGTTGTCTGTATGATTACATGATTAACATGATGTCCAAGTTATATACCCTTGCTGGTGAGTGACTTACGCAAGAACCAAAACACGTCGCTCTCTTCTTTCCATGTATCCGAGCTTTTTTGCAGACAGTTGAGACAGTTCTTGAATCTGATTCCTTTCCCTGACTTTGTGTAGTCGTCGTCTTGGCACACGATATCTGATGAGTTTGTATTTGTGGCCCTGGCATCGTCGAGTGTAGAGTTTGAACCATCGGAACATAGAGCAGCGCATTCGGAGTCGGGGGTCACTTGAAGGGCAAGAGCGGTAGGTAGGAGAAGAGCCGCAATGCCAAAAGTCCAGTGTGAGGCCCGCATATCTATTGCTCTTGTAGGCGCTTATAGTGAAATGTTGTTAGGACCGTCGCGGAGGTCGTGGTACGCTCAAGGTCGGGATCCAAGCATGACAGGCGTCAATTGAGATCAGATCCAGATGATTGATGCTTGTATGAATGCACAATGAAAGACTGTGGGTCTTTAATCACTGTCGAAATAACAAGATCTATGGAGATGATCTGACAGAAGACAAGCCTTGATATTAAGAACATGTGGGTGTCATGTCTATTTTATCGAGATAGTTGCCAAAAGTCTAAACACCGAATCGGCGGGAAGGCTGGCAAGGATACCCGTAAGCAAGCATGGTGTCAAGATTCAACTTGCCTACTTGGGAGTAGATCTTGGTATCTATTTTCGAGGGAACTATTTCATAGGGCAGATTGTCGCTTGTTCACCACAATAAAGTGCAAGAGTGTGCTATCCAAGAATAGAATCTCTAGATGCAAGGGTATAAGTCTTGAGCCAATCAGTGCATAGTATACGGATATAAATGCTTCTAGTGTTGCACGAACCAATCATACGCATTAGAGATGACTATTGGGCGGCTATAAGTCTTCAATTAAACAAGGATCGGAAGAAATTCAATGGTTTGTCAAGCAAATCATGGCGCGCTGAAGAGCCTCGCAGACGCCGGCCCGTTGTGCGGCCAGGTCTCTCCGTCCCCGTGCTTGGTTAGCGAAACCTAGAAACATCTGATTGTTCGTTTATCTTGAGAAATTGCGGGGGTAACAAGGTATTATGTTTCTAGCTCAAGATTGTTCGCAGATCGGCAGCATTCAAAGATGCAAGTCAAGGACATCTGGCTAGGAGAGACATGTCCCAACATGATGGTTTCCCTCCCAAGCATGCCCTTTTATCATTGATACACTCCAATCTTGGCATGCGGTTATCGTTGTTAGTCTGCAACGAGTTTTATCAAAAGCCGAGGGCGTTGGCCAGCCCAACCTCTCTCATTTTACGGCGCCGTGATAGTATAGAGTGTTAGTTTGTTAGATTAGCATTAAGCGCTCAGATTGCCGCAGACGCGCTTGGTTTTCATTGTTAGATCAATACTTTGTTGCTCGCTTGGCTCGAATTAGTAACAGCAATGTCACTTGCTGGCGATGTGACTGTGATAGAGCCTGCATTCAGCGCGTGTGCGGCGGGGTCTCGCAACATCCGCGATTGGGTGAAAATCCTTGACATAATTGACGGTTGGGCGAGAAATTTGCTCGTTCTCAAAGAGGGGTATTGGTCTCTTCGCTACTGCTGTTGGAAAATGGTGAAAGGATGAAGCATGGCGAACGACTTCTAAAGAGTGAGTCTTTGGGTGATGAGGGTAAATGTAACGTACGGCATATCTATCTATTTAAGAAGAGGTCGCCCCATAAGAAAAAGATAAGTGGATTTTATTTGAGAGTAAACTCTTCATCTTTCCAATCCTGATGTCTGTGGTACACAGACATCTTCTCGCATCATTTTACCGCTTCACTTCTTTCGCTCACCATTTTGCTTACCCTGTAGCATGGCACAAACACAAAATTGACCATGTAGCATCCCATTCCTATCTATCGGCAATGCTGAAGATGTCCACATTGGATACTTTCTTGATATTGCTGATTATTCTCTATCTGTGATATAATGATGAATGACCATTTAGTTGCTATGCCGGTATTCTATCCTTTTCTCTTTTTAAGATCAAGTCATGACAAACCGTCTCTTACTCATCAGAAAACCGACGTAGACAGTCACAAGAGTCCTTGTTCCAACCACTGCCATGTAACTACTTATTATCAAGAATCTAAAGAAATCCGCGACTATCTGTACGGGCTCGTTTTGTTGGTAACGAGCCCAGTTACAACAAGCCAACCACATACGTAGTTGATGCACAGAAGACATCGCCTTCAACGCCAGAACAAGTGGTCCTGGAAAATATCCCAGAGAATCATTGATCCATAGAGCAGAAGCTTGAGCTGAAAGTAGCATCATTGTTTCAGGTCCAGGTGTTGGTCGTGGTGAGAACAGGTTTAAGCGCAGGCGCATGGCCGGGCAGCCTGAAAGACCCAGTCATGCCATTGTCCCGAGCCTGCACACACTCGTTATTGAGCTGATCACATGGATCAAGTCCCACGCATGTCGGTCTTTTGGGTTTGGTTGATCTTCGTCTTGTTTGATAGGCAGATGAGCTTGGCTGGAACCCATGTAAGCGGGGGAAAGAAGCCGTACCGTTTCAACGACAATGCCCCAAAGTCATCAGTCATTAATTCCCGGTTGCAATGCTGTGAGCGTCACCTAGTAGATGCATGAGAATCCACAAGCGGCTATTTGCACTTTCTACCGAACGAATAATATGAATCCATCTGTTTGTAGTCTGCAAATGACGGGTGAATGTTTTGCGACTGGACCCGAAGAGCCGGAGACCAGTAAGTTGCAAGGTATCGCCTTCTGGCACATGGTTGACGTGTGATGTAACGAGAGGTCAGAGGATATTTCATCATTGTTAAATGCACCGCTGAATTAATGAAATCCTCGGAGGTAAGATATGAGACCTGGAATCTGGAGATTACACAGGTATATGGGGATATCTCAGCAACAGGAACATTGTGTACTGTTTCCGAGCGGAGAGAAAACATAACGATCTTTGAATATGATACCACACAAAAAAGAACAGCTCATTTTACCAGTCTCAACGTTGTCTTCCAACCTGCAATTTCTGCAAAGCTGCAGGAGGGGTTTATCAGTGTGGTAGTAACACAAGACCGTTTCGCGGAATTTATGAGTGGCTGAATGCCAAATAGCCAAACAACACACCTCATTGACCGCCTTTGTGATCGTATATCCCATGAAACGGTGACCTTCGCTCTACTTGTATGTAAGTCCAGTCCAGAATAGACGTTTTATGGCACTATCCCTTGCTGAGATTGAGAGGAACGAATGTTACGAATGTTGGAAAAATGGTACAAGTTGCGAATAAGTAGAGTACGCACTTTGTAAGTGAGTGTTGTTAGGGCGTACACGACGAGCAGCCGGCTGAGGACATAGCTTGATGCTGAGAAGTGAGGGAAGACGACGGCGAGGCGCCCTTGGACCTTGCATTTGCAGTGGCCCTCATTCCTCGTTGGAATCTATTGAACATCACCGGCGTTTAATCGGCTGGAGGTTTTGTTTGGCTTAATTTTGAGGCGCCTGCGCGGGTGCTTAAGAAACGCCTGCTTGGCTCATATTAGTTAGTGCATGCTCTTTCCCAAGCCATGGACTGGGGAAGGTTCCTTCACAGGGCTATCGCAGTCGATCTCAACAGCCAGTTATAGTGGGAGAAAATGCTCTGGCTGGGATCATCACGAACATGGGACCCCCTGAAGAGACAAGAAGGGCTCCTCAAACCTTGTCATGACCCATTCAAAGCGTTTAACGGCTGCCCCTCATTGGGCCCAAGTTTCTATAGACGCACCTTTCCCTTTGGACCTTAGCAGTAGCGGTTTTGAACATCATTCTGTTGTCCACTATGACATTACTGGGCACAGCTGGCTGGGTTCCAAGCTGACGTTCGTACAGGACCTACGGATACACTAACGGAATGTAAGACTGACCACAATTTAGCAACCAGCTCCTTTTGCTGTCTGTCTGTTAGTTCTGCCAATTAACGAATGCAGGGGCTGACCTTACCAGCCCTCTGATCCTTACTGCACATTCTCGTCAGTCTCCCACGGCCTGCGCTAAATTGCGTGTCCTCCGCTTTTGGTGCGTCAGGTCGTTTTCGCATCTTCTCTCTATTTCCCATTTTTGTCCTCCGATCACCGTCTATCTATCATGTTTCGTTATTGATTTGTATTGCGTCTTCGTGTTTGCCTGTTCTTTTTCTTCCTCGATTTTGAGCCACGCTGATCTCGCTGGAGTTCCTCTCCCGAGCACTCAGAGCGTTGTCAGGCTAAAAAGGTTTCTGTTGTCTTGCGGGGTTCCATCAGTCGTCGCAGATATGAGAATCGGTTGTTTGCAATTTGCGCCCCAGGTGGGAGACGTCGACAACAATCTGAACCGAGCGGATGCCGTATTATCAAGAGCGAATCCTGATGACCTAGACGTCTTGGTTCTCCCCGAGCTGGCCTTCTCTGGTAATTTATCTTGAGGATGAACAAGTTGGGTCAAGGGGAATATTCGTTCTTGACCAACTTCTTCATCTTTCCCCCATGATACCGTCTTCGGTTCTTTTTTTATACTAATATTTTCGAAAGGGTACAACTTCAAATCTCTGCAGGATATTACTCCTTTTCTTGAACCCTCTGGCTCTGGAATTACGTCTCTCTGGGCCAGGACAATCGCTCTCAAGTATAATTGTACCGTCACTGTTGGATACCCCGAAAAAGTCGATGTTTCGCCAAAATGGCCTACTGGTCCCGAATACTATAACTCGGTTATCGTTGTTAATGCCGATGGCGAGACAATAGCAAACTACCGGAAGTCATTTCTTTACCAGACTGATGAGACATGGGCATTGGAAGGAGGTCAAGGATTCTACGAGGGCTTCATTCCTGGATTAGGGAACACCTCGATAGGAATCTGTAAGTTCGACTGCACTCTCACATGCGATCTTTGCTAATCTTCCTCCCACAGGTATGGACCTCAAGTATGTAACCAGAAGTCAAAGTCACTATGAATCTTTCTAACCCTCCTGCAGCCCTTATAAGTTCGAAGCCCCATGGAGTGATTTTGAGTTCGCACACCATGTCCTTGAAGTTGACTCAAATCTCGTCATCGTTAGCATGGCCTGGATGACCAGAGAAGACCCGCGACGTTTCACACGCATGCCTAATGAACCCGATATGGAAACACTGACCTATTGGGTCACTCGACTTGAACCCCTTATTCGCGCCGAATCTCAAGAAGAAATCATCGTCATCTTCTGCAATCGATGTGGAAACGAAGATGAAGTTCTTTACGCCGGAACAAGTGCAGTCGTCGGAATTCATGACGGCGAAGTCAAAGTCTACGGCCTTTTGGGACGAGGCGAAAAGGAACTTCTTGTCGTCGACACGAACAACTCGCCCTACGCTAAACTCGTATATCGACCAGATGCTGGAGGTTCCGTTATGGAGGCAGCAGGCCGCCTTGAGAAAACAGGCAGCAGTAGTGGTACCCCGACAAACATTACTAGCAACATATCCATCGAAGGGCAACGTGGCAATCTCAACTTTGGATCGTCCAAGGAAAGAGAGAGGCACCAATCACCCGAAGCGTCACTGTCACAACTTTCACAACTCCCTGAAGACTTAGCCCAAAATCGCCCGAGAGGAACGTCCAGAAAGCGACATCCGCCAGCAAATATCACTATCCCAAGGGAGCCCGGTCTAGTCAAGTCCAACTCAGCGCGGTCACCTGGGGCAGATAGTCTTAACGTTCCCACACCATCGGCTCCTAGCCCAACACCCATGTCTCTTAGACCGCGCCTGATTATTCCCGAATCTCCTCCCATTCTACCACACCAATATCCTCCCGATATCCCTATCAGCGCTGCGTCCCTGAGATCAGAGAGATCGATCCGGTCAATGAAGTCTAATCATTCCGAAGCATCTACTATGACTGTTCGCACGAATCCCCGGCCTCCTGAGGAGAGCACACCTTACCCGGACAGTGGTGCCCCTCTAAGTGGCTACCCGGAGAATTTCTTCCCTTCTGAGAAGATGATATATGGAGGCGATGTTAGGATCCATAGCGCGGGACCCTTCAGCCCCAATACCCCATTCGAAGATTTCTCTCCCGTGTCACCTGAGCAGATCTATTGGCCGCGCAATGATAACTTGATGCGAACCCCGTTGGGTGTTGGTGGATGGGCTTCTGGGACACCCATTGGGAGAAAGCCTGAGCCATTCCCTTGGCCAGCTATCACAGGGAATCCGCTTACCCCAAATCGGAGTGCTGCGAGAGGCCAGGCAAAGGACAGCGCGACTCCCAAAGATCTTCGCCATCACAACTCACAATCACCGCAGTCCAACTCTTCATCGAATCGGCCTGCTAGGACCGAGGAGTCAGGACGATCAGCATCTGTCAACTCCAAGGGAGTGGCCCAGCCACTGCGTCCAAAAGAGCCAATACAGCCAACAGAACCAGACAATCAATCTATGGCACGACCATCCTCTCCCAAATCCAGAAACGCTAGCCGTTCAGGAATGCGCGAACGGTCCGGATCGTCTCTGGAAAATCGAGAAAGTGATGCCGCGATTTCATTACATCTAGAAGGCATTTCATTCCGGGCGGAATCCGCGAGCAGAATGCGAGCAGAAAGTGCCAGCCGTACCCCTGTAGGAGATCGAGTTCAGCCTTCTGAGTCTAGAAACTGCAGCCGTCCTAGGATCACCGATACGCCGGACCATCAACAAGAGAAACATATGATTCGGATTGTTGCAAGCCCAAGTATACTTCAGGATGAGCAGAGAACGCGATATCAGTCCTTGTCAAGAGTAACACATCACCAGCGCCGTAACTCTTCTGTGGTAAATAGAGCATTCTCACCCAGTCATGACCGCACTGGTACACCAGAGTCAGCAATGAACAAGACGTGCCCTGCCTCACGCGCTGCCAGTCGAGGCCGTACACCTGGACCAAAATTTGAATCCACCAACGGGGTTCTGAGCTCGGTCCTTTCGACCACCGAGCGAGCCTCGTCAGCTGACTCGACCCGTAATGATAGACTTCATAGTCGAATTCATCAACACGGATCGAGCAGTCGACAGTCTCGAGCTGACAGAACATCGTCTACTCAAACTGGACGGCGTCGATCTAGCGTGGCTGTCCCTATAGAGTTTGAACGAGTCGAAGAAATTCGTTGCCCCAACTGCCCCGTCCATAGCCGACGGTCTACGTCTGTTGGAGCTGTAACTGATGCCACTCGTCTGCATGCTTCGCAATCACCTCCGAAGTCATCACCAGCACAAAGACCTGCCTCTAGTGCCGGTATATCACATTATCTGCAGCCTGAAGGAGTTCTGCACCGACGAGCTTCTTCAGGACACATGACCCAGCTCATCGCCGAGGAGCCTCTGGATCGTCTGACAGATAACGCGCCATCATCTTCACAGAACGAAGCTGCTGAAGCCAGTGATTGCGGATCATTTGCAGAGACCCTCCAGACTGTTTCTACTCCTGGGCGGTCTCCTGCCACGCCAAGTTTTAACCCTTCTACACCAAAGGCAATGGTGCTTAATACAAATGATCTAGAAGTTGAACCACTCTTCGGTGGAAACCTGGATGGCTCTGAAAAAACGCCCACGTCCCGCTGCGCCGAAACGGACGCTATGAGTATCTACGGTGTCCCTACCAGCACTGCTGCATAACGCCTGCGAAGACTTCAATTGTGTAATATTATTTATTGAACAAACAAAACAGGTCTTGCTGGTGGATGCAATTTGGGTAAACATTTACGAATTTATTGAAGGAAAACTATGGGGTATCCGATGAAACAAGTTGGAGTTTTGCTGCTTTCGGGAGTAGTTTGCAGCCTGATACCTTTAGTGTTTTGTTTTCGGGAAACCTGTTAAAGTTAAGAGCGAGAGGTCCTGGGATATCATGATCTTTATCCTATAGATGCTGGTTCTGTTTACTATTGGCTGCCATTACTGTATGGCAGTCCTCCTTCCAACTTTTTTGGGTTACTTTTGTTAGAGATAGCGTTTGAAGTGAAGTTTATAGTTTTGAAGCTACGTAGATAATGACTATGTTTTTGAATTGAAGCTATATATTTGTGAACTTATACTGAATTAATGTGAATTTTATGTGCGGTCTCACTTACAAGACGTCTGACTGCACTGTGGCCTTCATCGTATTCTTGAGAAGGATCTATAGAGTTTACTAACACTATCAGTAGAGAAAGACCTCAGATACCTGGTGATCCCTCACCAAGATGTTCTTCGGAAATGATGTATGGAACATCTAATGGGACGGTACCGTCACGATAATTAGAAACTTTCGGCTGTACCGTTGAGCTTCATTCCCGTATTTCCGGCCGTCGTCGATCAGTCCGTTGTGGAACAGACCATGATTTGTGATGTAGGATCGCACCATGACGGAGAATGGATAGTTGTGTATCATACGACAGTTCCCGTCCTCAGAACCGGACAGCCTATGAACTTGTCACTGCAAGCACTTGATGTTGAGTCTACGGTTGAAAGCTTGTGGCTCAATATCAACCATGATAGTGGAGCCTCGGCACCGGGAGAGACCTTACGCTAGGGTCGGTAGGCCATACCGACAGGGTCTTTATCACCGATGATTGGCTTTGTAACCGCCAGAACTCGTGTGAAAGTCCAGGGGCCCATGCAGAGACCCCACAGCAGAAGAGAAAGGGCTGGGATATATCAGTGATGGCGACTCTGAGTGGTTGGACCCCTCATTCATATTTCTCTCAAGAGCTTGTCTCAACACCAGGAACTCCGCCTGCTTTTGCCGGTGGCCAATCCTGATGCTACTTGCTGTGATGAACGAGTGCCACCATATCGCGGATCTTCCAATCGATGTTTTCCGCCCCCAGATACCTCATGCACCAATCAATCTTCTGCGTGACAAGACAACAGTGGATATTGGAGATATTCAAGACCTGGCGGCTGCACTCTCCTTGTCACGGCGCCATTGCAACTCATCACTCGCATCATTTCACTTGCTACACTGCTAAAGCATAGCTTTATATCGGAAGTTTCGCCTCTCGCAACCGCTCTGTTGGTTCGCGGTGCTGCAATCTGCAGCATCACCCACCGTTTTCGCGCATTAGTTGAAGGCACAGCTATATGTCACATCTGGCGGGCGGCTCAGATTCATAAGTGTCTGTCTGTCTCATCTTTGTTTTGGTATAAGAGCGCTACTGTTATCGCCTTTCCGCCCCCAAGCGCCCGGCTTATTAAAAACCGAGGTCTTGATCGTGTGCCGGCACATATGTAACACAAACCGATCTTCATTTTGTTTCTCAAGGTCCCCGCTCTGGTCGAATCTATTCCGAAACCCGCAGCCTCGGTTCATATTCTACAGCCATCGAGCTGGCCACGATCCTCTTCAACAGCTTTAAACTTACGATGAAACCATCAACTTTAATATCAGCCTACGGGTTACTTAGCCCTGCTACTGCCATAATAGTCGCAGACAATTCACCTTGTGGAACTTTGTGTGGCAACGTTCTCGATGCCACTACCTCTGACGACATCGTCTGTCATGAAGACGACTACAAAAGTGGTGCAGGAATTGTATATCAACAATGTGTCGCATGTCAGCTAAGCAGCGACTATTACACGAAGGATAACGAGACCGACCAGCAATGGCTACTCTGTGAGTCTACTTGCTTACCCTCAACCCATCTGACCATGGCTAATATGAAGTGACTGTCTTCAGATAATGTTCGCTATGCAGCGTCATATTGCTTATTTGGTGTGCCTGATAATGACAAGGTTATCAATACTCCATGCTTAACCTCGTAAGATTCCATTACCAGCCTGCCATTGATAGTTTGCTAACAAGTCCGATAGAAAAGCTTGTGGACCATTCCGACAGGCCGTTGAATACAAAAACCTGTCTACACAAGTCGAGAGTTATGAGTATTGCGATAAATGGCCGGTGCACGACACACTCGACTTCGAAGGATGCACAGAGTGTCTGCGCGCTGGCGACAACCATTATTTGGCCAATTGTAAGATCTTGTCAGTTATCGCAAATGGTCCAAATACTAAAACGCTACAGTCTTTACCCTTCTTCAAGCCGGATGTGAACAAAAGCCAGAACCTGGCATGGAAATCTCCATCGATGGGAGCGTCTTCTCTCAAGACATCGTGAACATCACAGAACCTTCACCTGTTGCTTCCTTAGACCCAGACTGGCTCGATCAGGGACCCATCAGCCTAGGTGCTAAAGTAGGCATCGCTGCTGGAGGCGTAGCTCTGATCTTGTTCATCCTTGGTTTCTGTATCATCTGGCGAGGCAAGAGAAGAAGGAGAGCATTCCTACGACAAATCGAAAATCGACCCAAACCGCAACCCCGACCTCGTACCAAGAGCGGATGGCCAGCCCAATTGCAGATTGACAACGACATGCGCGAGACACCATTGAGCCAAAAGCCATTGAGAAGCTGGGATGAATCGCCAATTAGTGCTCGATCTGAGAAGACATTCCCAAGATATGTATCTCCATATGGTTCTCAGTTCAATAGTCCCGTCAGCGCTACCGAACTGCAGCTCGCACAATGGCCTGTTCTGAACCCCAACCAACCGACATACCCTCCAATGCCTGCCAGTACGGCATCGAACACTCCCTTCGAAATGTTTCCTAACATGTATAAAACTGACCCGAGCCCATCGAATTCTCAGATTGGAGTAGCCCTCGGCGGACATGACTCGTCACTCAACACTCCTCAATCAAAGGGCAAAGATCGCGACGAGTCATACGAGATGTATCCCGTCGATGGCCGAGCGCATACTGGCATCGGGATTTACCAGCCTGAACAATATGCGCAGCACGAATATTTTACTCAAGAAACCCCGTACCATGGCCAAACTTACCAAGGTCAGGGGCATGAGTATGAAGACACATATGGTGATGAGTCAAGGGGCAGGAGACAATAATGACAATATGAGAACGAATTAACACGCCAATCCTTAATACATACTTAAAACTTGGGCGCTTGGAGTTTCATGGCAGGAATACCAATTTCAATTTCAAAGTCAACTTTTACGTGAAACATGTCTCCAATTTGTCCCTGTGCCAACTGCAAACATGACTACGGATCAGTATCTAGTTACTTCCTGGCGGGAAGATCAGCGCAAGATTTTTTCTTTAGTGTAGATATCTACTGAGCAGGTCTCACAGTGTTTTGGTATGGGTGAGAATAAGATTGCTGCGTGCGATATATTACATTGCGACTATTACCTACAGAATGAGGGACGAAGTCAGTCTTTGGCTCTGAAAATCAGACACAACGAAATCTTCAGCATGAAAGAGATAAATCGATGGCTGGTATTGTGGCGCTGAAGTGCCACGAGCAGCTGAATAGGGACTAGTGTCTATTCGACGCCACACACCGGTCGTAGTTCCTTCCGGTCCCCACATTGAAATCCATCCTGAGAAAAAAAATTTAGAAGCTTCCTTCCAAACCAACACACCGGGCAAGACACCGAGGAAATTTACGACTCACACCTTCCGTTTCTTCCCTCCTGTCGCAAAAAGCACCTGCCGCGCTTGGCCCGGTATATCACATTGATTCTCCAAAAAGGAAGTCACATTTCACCTAACAGACAAAATGTCCACGGACGTCGCAGTTGTCAAGAAGGCGACAGAGGAGGAGTACATCATCAAGCCCCAGGCCAGCACTCCTACCCTCGACACCAGCCAGTGGCCTCTTCTCCTCAAGAACTACGAGAAGCGTGAGTCTCCTTAATGATTTGATGCGCCTACAACTTCTTTTTGATGCATTCCCGAGTCTCAATTGCTCGTCCCGTTTCAAGCTTCAAGGACTAACTCGTAATCTTCAAAACTTGCAGTTCTCGTTCGCACTGGTCACTTTACTCCCATCCCCAATGGCTGCTCTCCTCTGAAGCGCGACCTTAAGCAGTACATCAGCTCTGGTGTCATTAACCTCGACAAGCCCTCTAACCCTTCCTCTCACGAGGTTGTCGCTTGGGTCAAGCGCATTCTTCGGTACGAAAAATTTGAACTCCACACCAGCGCGTCAATGCGCGCGTCAGAATACTTGCTAACGTACATTCTAGATGTGAGAAGACTGGTCACTCCGGTACTCTCGATCCCAAGGTTACCGGTTGCTTGATTGTCTGCATTGACCGCGCCACTCGTCTTGTCAAGTCCCAGCAGGGTGCCGGAAAGGAGTATGTGGCTGTTATCCGCCTCCACGACAAGCTCCCCGGTGGCCAGGCTCAGTTCGCTCGCGCTCTTGAGACCCTTACCGGTGCGCTGTTCCAGCGTCCTCCTTTGATCTCTGCCGTCAAGCGTCAGCTCCGTATCCGAACCATTCACGAGAGCAAGCTCATCGAGTTCGACAACGACCGACACCTTGGTGTCTTCTGGGTTAGCTGTGAGGCTGGTACCTACATCCGAACACTCTGTGTTCACTTGGGTCTCCTTCTTGGTGTCGGTGGCCACATGCAGGAGCTTCGACGTGTTCGCAGTGGTGCCATGGATGAGTCCAAGGGTCTCGTCACTCTCCATGACGTTCTTGACGCTCAGTGGCAGATGGACAACACTCGCGATGAGTCTTACCTCCGCAAGGTTATCTCTCCTCTTGAGACTCTCCTGACCTCGTACAAGCGTCTGGTCGTCAAAGACAGCGCTGTCAACGCTGTCTGCTACGGTGCCAAGCTCATGCTTCCCGGTCTTCTGCGATACGGTATGTTGATAAAATAGTTTCTTCTGTTGCAAAACGCTAATTCAATTTCAGAGGCCGCCATTGAGCATCACGAGGAGGTTGTCCTCATGACCACTAAGGGCGAGGCCATTGCTCTGGGTATCGCTCAGATGTCCACCGTTGAGATGTCCACCTGCGATCACGGTGTCGTTGCCAAGGTCAAGCGCTGCATCATGGAGCGCGACCTCTACCCCCGCCGATGGGGTCTCGGCCCTGTTGCCCTTGAGAAGAAGAAGCTCAAGGCTGACGGCAAGCTTGACAAGTACGGTCGCCCCAACGATGCCACTCCCGCCAAGTGGAGCTCCGAGTACAAGGACTTCAGCGCCGACGCTTCTGCTGCTGCTGCCGCCGCCGCTGCCGCCGCTGCCACTCCCGCCAAGACTTCTGAGGCTGAGGATACCCCCATGAACGAGGCTGCTTCCCCCGCTGCCGATGACAGCAAGGACAAGAAGCGCAAGAAGCACGACGGCGAGACCGCCGAGGAGAAGGCTGAGAGGAAACGACGCAAGGCCGAGAAGAAGGCCGCCAAGGCTGCTAAGAAGGCTGGCAAGGGTGAGGCCATGGATAGCGACAGCGATTAAGCGATCTACCAAGTGTTTGGTTATAGGCTTGAATCTGAAAGCGGACCTTGATACCCGAGATGTAGGGTCTGTTGGCAAGGAGCGGTCTGCGTGCTGTACCATATTCTCGCATATTGTGCCGTTTTTTGCTGTTTGAAATTATGTTTTGGGGATATAATGGCGTTTGGTTCGAAAATCCTGGGAGTAGATGTCAGGCACTCAATGCAAAGGACGATAAAAACTACGGCTTGTCTCTGACGGAGAATTTCCTTGATTCTGTGAATGTGTGTGTATGTACATATGCGATTGTAACATGTCTCACTGCCGCAGCTGGTTCTTGTGACCGGCATGTGCAATGCCCGATGATGTGTGTTTGGAGGGATGGCGACACACAACGCATAATAAAGCGGTCACGTAATCGGGGACTCGCTAATAGCATTGAATTGTTGGATGCGTAGCTGAGGCTCCATCATCTTGAAACGTCTAGAAGCCTAGGCGATGCATGTGTTGTCAGGAAGAAGCAACAGAGCTGAAGCTACTGCATGTATGATGACACATTTTCTGGGTACACGATGAAAAATTGAGTTGGGACGAGGTTCCACAAGAAGAAGATTCTGACCAGTTCCTGACACGCCGTCTATCTTGTGTATGTATGCAGCAACAATCCAGCCTCTGTTGTGCTAGTCAAGGAACTAGCCTTGGCCCTGTGAAACACGAAACATTAGGATCTGAATGGCAAAACATGGAACCAATCATATTCAAGCAACACATCCAGGAGTAGAACAGCTGTCCCTGTTTCACCATCAACGAGAAGTGGCTATCAGAGACGGCCATGGCTTGTCTGGTTCGCTCAGAGTGACCATAGCGTTGCAATCCAATCGACCAACGCATGACACAGCATGAATGATCGAGGAGTATCCTGGCTTGAGCCATCTGATATATTGAACCCTGAAATCTCGGTGCACTAACAGATTCCGAGGGACCGTCTTAAAATAAATCCTTTTGGAAAAGATGGGCCTGGGAGACCGCACTGCTGAGCCTTTGTGTCATGCTGAGTTTGTATGGGCACAATGAGGATCGACTGTGAGAGAGGGTGACCCGTCACTTGGCCTGGGGTTTTTAGGGGGAAATGAAGTATAAAGTCGAGACGAGAAGCGTGATTCGCAATATTTGACGTGTTGTGTCATTACTCGCTTTCACTTTTCCAATATCAAGCATTACACTTAATACCTTCTTCTTGACTGTGCTTATCCAAGCTCTTATATGGGCCAGTGACTCAACAACCAACGTCAGAGGCTGTTTATCCATATCTTTCAACTTTCCTTGGACCTATTGATCGACGACACATATGACATCAAGATAAACAGGTACCGAGATTGAGGCTCAGCTGAGCAACTTATATTAGACGTTCCCGACGTCTTGTAAAGGTTTGAACACCAACAACATGCCCATCATGTCTTCTTTATCAAGCCCTTGGAGGCATATTATTGTCTTCCTCGTCTCTTTTTTTCTTCTGGACGTTGCCTCAGCCCTGCCTTCTTCCCCCTCAATACGACCGTACCTACTTCCACCACCTAAGCAGCTTATAAGTAAAAGGTCAGAGTTGTCTCCTTCGATACGGCCATACTTGCTGCCACCTCCCAAGCAACTCATCAGCAAGAGGTCGGGAAATGGGACATTCATGCCCCGACTTGACGTCAACTTCCCAGATCCATGCCTTCTCCATGATCAAGACGGTCGATGGATATCCTTTGCAACAAGTGGAAATGGACATCATATCCAGATCGCCATGGCTGATGATCCTTTTGGTCAGTGGACTCATCTTGAACAAGATGCACTCCCTGGGGATGGGTGGACGAGCGGCAGAAACTTCTGGGCTCCTGATGTGCGAAAGCTAGACGACAACTCATACGTCATGTACTTCTCAGGGGAAAACCCCGAAGGCGGTCACTGTATCGGAGTTGCGCGATCACAAAACAGCACAGGTCCATACGAGATGGATCCCGAACCATTCGCATGCCCCAAAGACGAAGGTGGAGCAATCGACCCGGCCGGTTTTTACGACAAGTCGACTGACAAGCGCTATGTGGTCTACAAAGTTGACGGTAACGCTCTCAAGGGCGGCGCCGGCACTCCGATCCGGCTACAAGAAGTTTCAACCGACGATGGATCAACACCGATCGGCGCGCCTGTGGATATCATGGATCGGATCCCTGCAGAGGATGGGCCCCTAGTTGAGGCTCCAAACCTAGTGCACACGGATGACGGCAGATACCTGCTCTTCTTCAGCAGCCATATGTACTCGGATGATGCATACGATGTCAAGTACGCCGTGGCCCATCAGGTTGAGGGACCCTATGTCCGGGGCCCGGAACCATTCCTCAAGACGCCTGCTCTCGGGCTTAAGGGGCCGGGTGGAGGCACAAGTGCTGAGGATGGAGGTTTCTTGGTGTTCCATGCGCGGTGCGCGGACGGTAAGAGGTGTATGTACTCGATTGGGTACGATATTGCCAGAGTGGATGACTCTGTTTAACTTGGACACTTGAACAGTCCAAAGTATGACAAGGACACTAGATAGATGGGATGGCGTTTAATAACCACGTGGGAATGATTTTTGTGCAATGGTAATTTCCTCTTTATATTAGATATTTAACAACAGAATGAAAAGTTTGTTCACTTAGCATCTCTTCTTTGATCTCTAGTATGAGATGGGTATCGCTTGATGGTGAAAATGATGTTGAAGAAGGGTTGGTGGAGGCTCGGGCTAGCTACTTTGGGGTGAACCTTCTACCATAAGCGCTTGGGCCTGTGCAACCCCTGAATTTCTGGTTGAACGACAGTCGTAACCGCCCTTTCCTTTTCTCTCATTCGCTGTGTCGGACAGCCACTGTCCCCCCTTCTCCAGTACAAGCGAATGAGACCGAAGCAAACCTCCTGCGAACAGACTCTAGCAATGTCTTCTTCACCATCATCACCACCTATCACTTATACCTTAACATATCTATAGAACTAAGCGCCCGTATCTGTCCCCAGTGCTCACCGTTCACTGATAGCAATTCTCATTCGACAATGGGCCGCTTCCCATTTCAAAGAGGGCATAGTTGGTGACTGTCATTCATCAACTGCAGTCAAGCGCACAAACGTCGATTGCGGCACGGACAATATGGCGGCACTTTCCATCCGAATATTGGGTGATTGGGAGCTGCATCGCGGCAATCAGATCTCTCTATTTCCTTTTGTCCCTGTCTTGGTTCTTTGGGGCTGAATCTAACAGGCGGGGAAAGTGATGTCTCCATGCATAGCGTCACATCAGTAGTTCTTGACCGAGTGATGAAGAGATCAAAATGCTACATTGTATGTCTAGGTGCTTGTCACGCTAGTCATAGTACTTCATATTCGGAAAGCCTGCCCTTCCCCATCTTTATCGTTTTGTCGTTCTTGTTGGTTTTCAGTTTGCGTTTCACCTTCACTTCGTTTTTCATCTCATTCTCTTCAATCATTCGTTGGTAGTACGGACATTGCTTTGTCAATCTACCATTTCTCATTCGTACACCATTGTGACTTGTCTCTTGTATGGTTGTTACCACCAGCATGTTGTAGGAACAACGGGAGATACACAATTCATTACTTTGTTTTATATTCTTCGTTGTCATTCCTTCAAAATCCAACACGAGGTGTTTCACAGCTGGTCTGCCCTCGAATCTACCCCGATAGTGTTCAAAACATCAAATCGCTTGCCGAAACCGCAAATCTCCTTCGAAACAGCGGCCATCACGGCGGCCAACATCATCAATCATGCCCTTTATTTACGCTATCCTTACACTCCTCTTTTGGGCCTCGGCCAGGGCTCTGCAGGTTACTCCAAACTCGCCATGTGCTCAGTTTTGCCATGGCACTCCTAATTCAAAATCGAGCAAAACCAACGGTGACGAGATTGTCTGTAACGATGATGACTTCAAAAGACAAGCTGAGGGCCAAAAGTTCCAAAGATGTCTGGCCTGCTTACAAGACAGCACCTTTGAGCAGGGTGATGAAAATGACCAAGACTGGTTCTTGTGTAGGTTGCCTTTATTCCCGTTCCCATGCCATCCTCTAATCTTGCTTATGATTAGACAACATGCGATACTCTTTCGACTATTGCATATTTGGCTATCCGAACGCAACTGGAATTTCATCAGGCCCATGCGTCACTTCGGAGGCATGTGGACCGATCGAAGATGCCTTGAAAGAGGGCATTGCCGAACCCAACGACAGAGACAAGTATGGCTACTGTGACACTGATGACAAAGCCATGCTTGGTGATGCAGTTGCCAAGTGCCAGGCTTGCGTCAAGGCAGACAGCAGCCAAACGATTATATCAAACTGTGAGTTGTATTCTTATCTAGTCACCTGCCATCTCTGACGTTTCACCAGTTCTCATTGCGCTTGAAGCTGGGTGCCAACAGCGTCCCGATCCCGGCACCACGCTCGGGCTTAATGATACTGTCTTCAGCGACAGGTCCATCTCGATTCTTGACCCATCTGCTTCTCTTGCTCCTGGAGATAACCATGAGCTCCCCAATACTTCCATTGCTGCCATTGTAGTTGGAGCAGTTGCTTTCCTTCTTATCTCTGCAGGATGTATTTTTATGCAACATCGAAAGCGCAAGAAGCTGTCTGCCCATGATCGACGCTCTTCTCTTTCGTTCCGCTGTCAGGCACGTCTCACCCCACGAACACCCGGTTTTCATGACCTGCCTCCATATATGGATGAGGAACGGAACATTTCAAAGTCTTCACTCTGGAGCCCAAACAAAGTAGTAAGGAGTTCAAAGGAAGGCCACAAGCTCGGCATAGTCACCACTATTGTCACAATTCCTCATCCACCACCTACAAAAGCCCCGTTACATACCCCTTCTCGCGATGATTCGTCCCCAGCAGAAAGCGTCTCGAGCTGCTGCAATGCTGCTCTTTTATCCAATGGGACAGTGCAGCAATGTAGCACTCCTTGTGTCGCATCGCCGCTTTTCAGTCCTGGTCTTTCTATTGCAACACCCCGGTCGGGAACCTTCCCACGTGACTACCATGATAGCAACAATCCTTGGGCGCAGCAACCAACAAGTGCTACTGCTAGAGGTTTCTTGAAAACGAAGCAGTCAAGAGACTCTCAAGCACCAACCGAGACACGCAATATTCGGATTGTGTTTGATCCACCACCCAAAAAGCCCAGAAAAGGTTGATATACATTATTGCTTTTTGTTTTCTACTTCTTCATAGTTACTTCAGCAATGGCGTTGTGGGTCAAAGGAATTTGGATAGGCGTGGACCTGCCGATGAAGCTTGAACTGGCGTTTGGGAATATATGGATTGACTGGCTGGGATATGTACATATGTCTAAAGAAGTGTTATCAGCGAATGTAGTTAGCTTTCAAGTTTTAGGGTACAAGAATAAACGACCAAAAGGTCGGATCCTATTAGCATGAACTGACTGGCTGGTTTTGTCTCTTATGCTTCTGGGTGTCGGTGTCATAGTCGCGGTGAGATTTGACACCAATGGGGTTTAGGGATCATACGTTAGATCAAGTGCCGTCTCCAAAAGCTATATCAGAATTGCAAGGAGTACCACTACTCACGAGCGAAAGTCTAGAAGAATATTGGCAAGTTACCTGACGACAACAAGTGCCTCTACTGTTATTTTTCCTGTAAAAATGCTATCAGCATTGACTTTTGAGGACTGTCCCTCTTTCAAGTCGGCAGACGAATCATCATTGCAGTAGTTCTTGCGGAATAGTTTACGGTGTTGTACCTCTCTATAATGCCTTTGCCACGGCTATATTGGCTTGTTTTTGCATAAGGCTTCCGTCACTAATGCGAAGAACTACCTAACTTGTAAGTTCCTGATATCAACAGAGCACTAGACCTTGCCCAATCGACGCGCTAGGTACCAAAGTGCGAGGACCTGTATGCACACAATCTTGGTCGCATGTTTCTGGCAAGCCGGCTTGCCAGCAACCGCGACGCCCTGACGCTGGACCTAGCATCATTTGCTTATGGGGTAAAGATTTCCAATGCCAATGGTGTCTGATAAATCACCACAAGAACAACTAACAAGACAGAACAGATTCAAGTTAGGACCTAATAGCCGTCAAATTCAAGGAGTGACTGAAGGTAGGAAACGAGGATCTCTATGGAGGATGCTCGAATTCGGGATCTAAAGACATCTATTTGTAACGCTGTAAGGAATGGCTCACAGTAGCGAGATGTAAGATATGTCTATCTCAGCCTACATCATAGGACGACGCGGCTTGGGTGACTGTCTATTCATGGAGATCGCTGTGCTGTCTTTGGTAGCGGGCGTGCCTGCCAGAAGATGTCTAAAACACCGCGATTGGTAATTGAGTGGAGCTGAGAGACGACTACCCACTACTGATGTAAATATCGGCGGGTCGCCAATATGAGTCGATGCTTGATAATGATAGTCATGGTATGTTTTTTGTCTTGGAAGAACTGGGCCAAGCTGTCGGTTATGCACATGATAACACTGATAGACCTTGCATTCGGCCCCGGTTACCGAGTCCCGTAAATAACTCGGAATGGTCATGTGCTATTCGATTGTACAAAGACATTGTATTCGGTGATGTTGTCTCGGTTGGAAAAGGGCTTTTCGTCCGATGATATGCGTGTCACCGTTTCCAAATCGAGCTTAACCAACAGTTTAATAACTAAAAGGAAGGCATTACTGTTTCTAAGATTACAAAGGTAAGAACAATAACTTGGCAAACAGAATGTGGTGTGTGCCTGCCTGTTTCTGTATGCTGTTGCTACATGTTGGTCTTGCCTGCGCCTGCCCAATTGAATGTGACAGAAATTCGTTGGTTGATTAAAAGAAGCTTAAATTAAGCTGCATCGAAGGATGTTTCTAGCGCGGGGACGTTAGGCTGCTTTAGGAAGGTGGCTGATTTGCGGGGAGGGAGGTGGTCTCGTGTAGGAAAACCATGTTTCTTATTACGATCTTCATGGATAAGGAATACCATCGATGGAAAGAAGAGGTTGAAGTTGGAAGAGCTCATTTTGAACATGGATATATTTCTGAACTTCAGTGATATAGGTAGTTAAGCTATGCTATATGCCTAGGCTGTGTCAAACAAGTTGCATTCACCATGAATCGATAAAGGAGCGAGTACTGATAGTTGTTATCTTTACCTATTTTCGTATCTAACCGCCCCTTGTCACGCATACATCCATTCTATTTGTCCCAAGTAATCGCCGAACCATCACTGACCGAAAACGTTGCAACTTCCATAGGTACAATGCGTTGCTCCAACTTATCTTTTCCGTCTTTATCATGCCCAGACTTACAAAAGTTCTCATCGACCGGTGCCAAGATTTGGAGCAACGAGCCATCCATAAGGAGCCAGCACCAATGTCAACCTACCCCATGCTTGCAGCACTATCTTGGCGCGCCTGTTATCATGAACTGGCTAATCAGGGAAGACTCTCAGTTGCTCCAGACGCATATGTCTTGGCACCGTCGCCTTTTGATGCAACATTGTCGGGGGTCATATCCTAACTAGGACTTCTCAGATAAGGACTGTCCGTTCTGCCAAGCCGAAGGGATTCATTCCTCGACAACCTCGACTATTGTTTGGGGTGCAAGGAACACTAAGGCGAGTGTGGTACAGCTTGTGAATGTACACACTGTCGGAACATGGCGATGCCAAACCTCACAAGAATTCAGCTGCAAGACATGTGCACTTGGCAGGTCCAAAAACACTTGGACACTGCACTGTCCCTCTCGCCCAGACGCGAATATCAAAATCTCCGAGCACCAGCAAGCCACGAAAAGCTAAAACAAACTACCAAAGAACTTTTTTCCCGTTGCCAAGTAAATGGTGAGACTAGTATCCAACTATCCATATAGGTATTTGCAAAAGTTCGTCCTGTCTCCATGCTGGTAATTGTAAAGATGCATCCTATTCGCCTCCCTTGATCACCATTACCAACAAACTAATTGTCTTCACTATCAAAGCTGCATGGCTAGCTCTTGGCAGTCCGAGGTATGAATCCACCCCGGTCTTGAGGCTCCTGGTATCAGACCTTTTACAGTAGGTAGCTAACAGGACCTTCTCTTTTCATTCCCATCCTTGCGCCAGAGGTACATCCTCCTGACCCCAAGGATGCACAGTTTGCATGCCCGAGTCCCATGTCTCGTCAGATCTGGCGTCTTGGCCCAACCCTGTGTGCAGACCTTCGCCTTCGCGTCGATCGCTGAACGTTACCCAGCAGAGTGTTGTACTGCGCAAGGTCAAAAGTGGTAGCTTCGTCCGACGGTTAAAAACTGTATAAAAGACGTATCCCCGTAGCAGGTGTTTCTCTTTTCTTGACTGTCTAGTTCGTGTCAGATTATACCATTCCTTTGCGGTCCATCACAGATCAGCAAATCTTCCACAATGGCGCCTACCGGAGACGCTATGGGCGAGACCGTTGCTGCGGCCGGCCTCCACGCTGAGATGGTCGACGAGAAGCGAGCCTCTGTGGCCGCTGAGAGGAGATCTTCTGTGGTCACCGACCCTCAGGCTCCTGCTGCTGCTGTGTCCGCTGGTGGTGTCACCGCAGATGGGCAGTTTCCCACTCCTGAGGAGATGCAAAGCTTGAGGCGAATTGCCAACAAGATTCCCATGAAGCTCTTCAGTATCGCCTTCATCGAGCTTTGCGAACGATTCTCTTACTATGGCTGTACAGTGGTTTGTAAGTCATGAGTTCAGCCCTCATAATTTTATCTCAGCCAATCTAACTTGTCTAAGTCACAAACTTCATCCAGCAGCCTCTCCCTCCTGGTTCCACTACCGGTGCCGACGATGAGCAGCCTGGTGCCCTTGGAATGGGCCAGCGAGCCTCGACCGGTATCACCACCTTCAACCAGTTCTGGCAGTACCTGATGCCCCTTCTCGGAGCTTACCTCGCTGATCAGTACTGGGGTCGTTACAAGACCATCAGCTATGCTCTGGTCGTCGATATCATCGGCCATATCATCCTCATCATCTCCGCTGTCCCTGGTGTCATTCAGAGCGACGGCGCCCTCGGTGCCATGATCGTTGCCATTATCGTTATTGGCTTCGGTACTGGTGGTTTCAAGCCCAACGTCAATCCTCTTATCGTCGAACAGCTTGGTGAGCAGTACATGCACGTCAAAACTCTCAAGTCTGGCGAGCGTGTCATTATCGATCCTGCTGTTACTATTGAGCGTGTTTACATGTGGTTCTACTGGGCTATCAACATTGGTGCCTTGGTCGGTCAGGTTACCATGGTCTTCGCTGAAAAATATGTCGGCTTCTGGCTATCGTACACCCTTCCCACCTTCATGCTGTGCATCTGCCCTATCATCTTGTTCCTGAACCGCAAGAACTACGAACGACGACCTCCCGGTGGTTCTGTCCTGGGCCCTGCCATGAAGACTTTCTTCCTTGCTCAGAAGGGCCGCTGGAGCATCAACCCCTTCCAGACATGGAAGAACATGCACACTGGCGACTTCTGGGAGAACGTCAAGCCATCTCGATTTAGCCACGAGAGTCGCCCCAAGTGGATGACTTTCGACGATGCTTGGGTTGATGAGCTTCGTCGTGGATTCAACGCTTGTGCTGTGTTCTGCTGGTACCCCATCTTCTGGCTTTGCTATAATCAGAGTATGTACCCCTTATACAACGCCTTATGGCTGAAACGTTTGAAAATTGTTTTGGAATGACTTGGAACAAAAGCTAACAATAAAAATAGTCAACAACAACCTGATCTCCCAGGCCGCTCTCATGCAGCGTCATGGTGTCCCCAACGATATTCTTTCCAACCTTAACCCCTTCGCTCTCTTGATTTTCATTCCCCTCAACGATCGCCTTATCTACCCTGCCCTCCGAAAAGCCGGTATCCGGTTTACTCCCATCAAGAAGATCACAGCAGGTTTCTTCACTGGTGCCGCTGCCATGATCTGGGCTGCTATTGTTCAGCACTACATCTACCAGAAGTCTGAGTGTGGCATGCGGGCATCCGGAGAAGACTGCCCAGTCGTTGAGATTAATGTTTGGGCCCAAACTGGCGCTTACGTTCTCATTGCTCTGTCCGAAGTGTTTGCCTCTATCACTTCTCTCGAGTATGCCTTCTCTAAGGCTCCCAAGAACATGCGTTCCATGGTCCAGGCTGTTGCCCTCTTCATGACTGCTTTCTCAGCTGCTCTTGGACAAGCTCTGGTTGGTCTTGCTGCTGATCCTCTTCTTGTCTGGAACTACGGTGTTGTTGCCATCCTCGCTGTGATTGCTGGAACTTGCTTCTGGTTCCAGTTCAAGGACTTGGATATTCACGAAGATGAGCTCAACGCTCTCCCTGAGGGTCAAGCAGGTGCCAAGCTCGACGAGGAGTCTCCTATGGGTGAGAAGCGAGTTGACGGATAAGAGGTTGCTGTTTGAGAGAACTAGCTATATATATCTCCTCTGGTTTTTAGTCTCGATACCCCTTGGATATTTGTTCAAGTCATTTAGTTTTACTTATAGGACTAATATATTCATCCCTGATTTACTGTATACTTATTTCTTTTCACGTACCCTATGTCGTTCAGGTCCACTACAACGTGACAATGGGAGATCATCACCTTTTCGAGGTTGAGTTGATGAGATACGAGCCGACACATTTATGTCGAAGAGCCTAGGTTAGCATGCTACTTTGGTATATTTTGACTATGTTATAGGTCAAGTTTACTCAATTGTTTTCCCAGGAAGCACATGTTGGCACGAGATCCTGGAACAAGTGAACCGCATTAACAGCATAGATACTCTGAGCAAGCCTTGAATTACATACTAAAATAGTGGATCTCAATTCCAATTCATTGTTCGCCAAACAGCCTTATTCCCTGGGGAAATGTTAAGTAATTCCAAGAAAGAACAGCCTCACTTGCTTCTAGAAAAAGTCGGAAAGAGTTACTCACGGCAACTTTCCGTGAAAGTAACTTTGGCTAGTCATGATGATCCACTTAGAAATGGAGGCAATTGCATCATGCTGGGTCATTCATTCTCCATATATTATCCCCGAATTTAGCAATCATGAACTGGGAAAGAGTTTATTTCTCGACTTTTATAAATCAATTTCTCCTCTGAATCACTCATCATTCATTGTCATTCAGACTATTCATTCGTCTAACAGAGCCGAGATAAAGTCACTTCAAAATACATTCATCATGGCTCAGAACGTACCCGACAACTACATCCCCAAGTATGCTCAGCAGGACGAGTGGGAGGACAAGGAACTCCAAAAATTCGCGATTGAGTTCTATCGCATCTCAGACAAGCCAGAAGAAAACCAACGCTGGGTCGACTCCTTTTGCGAGGACGCACGTGTTCAAATTGGCGCTGATAAGGCGCGTGGCACAAATGGTTAGTTGAAACAATCTCGGATGCATTCGTCTGAATTATTGAGCTGATGAATTAATCTATCTAGACCTGGCCCAATTCCGAACTCGAATGTGGAAGCTAGTCAAGGAGAGGAAGCACACGGTACTCAAGGTGTTCCCTGGACGATTCCCAGACTCGGAAGCCAACGAGAGTGAGGTGATGATCCTCGGTGAGGTCGGTGTGACTACGACGGACGGACGACTCAAACAAGCTGCTTGGTCAGCCCATGCGGTTGTGAAGAAGGTTGATGGAGCCTGGAAATTCAAGGAGTACCGAGTTTGGTTGCAGGATGAGGGACTTCTATGAAGAATGGACGCAATCGACCGAAACGAAAAAAAGTGAATTTGTGCATAGCCTTTAAAGTCGCGTTGATGAATAACAAAACAAAGCAAAACAAAACAAAGCAATCGGGAAGCCACTCACCGTTCACAACCCGATACGTCATGTCAGGATGGAAATTGCGGGGAGACAAATGCCGAAGGATGCCGTTATCGTTATCGTTATCGAATCAATTGACCACGCCGATTAATGGACAAGTCTGGCAGGGGAATAGAGGAGTCTACTAATAACAACACCCCCAGTGCGGTTGACTCATTCATCTCGCTGCATTTATTAGACCTCGGACTGTTGAGATGAATGGGCTAAGCTAAATAATCAAGGTTCACCGTCCCTTGCCTTACCACGATGCCGAGTGCTAAATCTGGACAATCAACGTGCCCGCCCCCTGGTGATGATAGGAGAGGCACGCCTAGCACGGCCACATGCTGATGGCGTAGCGGTATGGTCAGGTGAGAGAATCATGTGGCTAAAGGGTCAACCAGATATGCTGGGACAGGAACAGGAACTAGCCGGCAATACTAAGTTATGAATGGATGGTTTATGCTGAGATCGAGAGGAGGTGAGATCAGAGTCGTCATCAGTTTCTTGCAAGGTACCCGAGGTCGTGGATAAACCTGCTATCACAGCGAATTAGGGATGGCAACGTATCGATAACGACCCGGCTTGTATGTACATATGTATGTAGGTATATTCAGTTGGTTAATCCGGTCTAGGATGGGTTGTCAAGTTCCGGATTCGATCTGATTTGATACAGCCATCTTTCTTCATTCCCATTACCTTTCTCGGTTCATAGTTATGGTCAGCCAGCGCATGAACCTGTAATAATCCCGCGCCCAGGACTATCAAGGATGGAATGGATGACAGGTCTGTCTGTAGTATAATAAGCCATTCACCCGGTACGAAAAAGAAACAATCCCTTGACTTCCCGAATGAGCTAGAAATGTGACAGGGACGAAGCCGTGTAGATCCGCCATTTTGATCGCCTACCAGTACTCCATACAGTCACAGTACAGTACCACAGAGACTATTGAGTCGGACTGGGTGTCTTATCGCATGAGGGGTTCAATAGACCCAGCTCCTTATCACAACTGCAGCCAGCCAGGCCCGCCAGCCCCCATAAGAATGCCCCCTCCCACGCTAGAACATCCTCGGGGCTCAGTGTGCATGTGGCCTGTAGAGTCAAAAATTAGCCAGACGTTACTATACCAAAACAATCATAACCATTTCTGTCACTACTCCTTTCTATAATGTCCAGTGTGCCTGTCCCCTTACACACCCCCATGTTTAGCGTCCCCTCTCTCAAGGCGTCAGTGACGGGATGTAGGTACTAATCCTGGCTGCTACACCAGATATCCCGGCGTGACTCTATCCGACATGACTACCTCCTACTGACTGTACACCTTCCTTTGAGCGAGCTCCGTCTCAACAATCAATCCTCTCCTTTCACTTACTTACAACTTAACTGTTCAGTGAATGACTACACGATACAAGCATCAAACAAGCGCATGACGATTTCTTTCACTTCCAACTCTATAACGATCTTTGTTTCATCATCATCATCTGGTTCTGTCTCTATTGCATCTATCATCCATCCATCTTACATACTACATCCCATTACATACAACTTTAGACTACCTATCTACTGCACAGCTGGTCTGCGCCGCTATTATCCACTCAACAATCACGAGCATCTCGCCGTTCATTCTCGATAATCACTCAACTTGACAAAATACTCACTGGGTTGCCTCTTCCTAACCTTTTTATCTCTTTATTCGACAGTCAGTACCACTTGGGTTGCTGTTGCTAATATCCCTTTGATTTGTACGATCACTCGACACTGTACAAAGAGGTACGCGACATACCAAAGGATATAGGCTGCGAACCTTAATAAACAAGTGCCGGCTTCACCTCTAACGAAACCGACTTGACGCCTCTTTACTGGCAACTACGTTCTGCAGAAACGCGAGCGTTTTTGGGGTAGGAAACTGCTCCGACACTTGTCCAAATCAGTTGAATGCCTTGTAAGTTGTACCTCTTTACCTCTAACACCAACCTACCATCAGCCCCTACATTACCCCTCTACTCCATCATATAGCATTTGTCCCCCCAAATCATTTGCGCAATGCGCGCTGCCTTTTACCATAGCAACCCGAAAGGCTAACCATGACTCTTTCCTCAGCCTCTAAGAAGGACAGGAAACATGCTAGAGAGAGTGGCGGTATCGCCGCAGCCGTGACAAAGCAAACAGCTGGAAAGTTCGCGTGAGTACCATCCAGTCCACGGGACTCGTCCATCATCATGTTAAGTACCTGGCTGACCCGCAGTCACATTCATAGTGCCGCCAACAACACCAGCACAAACCCAAGCAATAAAGACAACGCCAAAAACACCGAAAATAACGGTGGAGAAAGCCAGAGCTCGTCTACTTCGGTTGCTTCCACGCCCCCGGTCGATACGCCAGAGATCAAGCCTTCCTTCGTCCCTAACAATGACAACCCTGCCGTCTCGCCCATGCTTGCTGCATTGTCTACAACTCCAGCTTCCGTGAGCACAGCGCCGAGTATGAATAACGACTGGATGCGAAGCGGTATTGCTGGCTCCCCAGGAAATTTGATCAGCATCATGGGTGACTCGCCTCCTACTCAACCCTCCTCATATGAGGACTCGGGTCGACTGCATCATGGATGGGCTGTCCAGCGTCCATACATGAGTCCGTCACCCTCATCTCTATCGCCACCAAACCACGGTCGCCGTCCCTTGAGCTTCCAGATGGATGCCCAATATCAGTCCCCAGAGACACCACCTTTGGCTGGCCACTATCGTCGGAGCTCAGTTGCGTCTCCCCTTAATGGTGCAAGAATCGGGAACCTCCCGCCGCTCCCTCATCAACCCCAAGCGCATTTCTACGGAGCCCCCGATATTGACCTGAACTTGACAAACAACTCTGGCATGAAAGCTGGTGAGCGTGGTTACTTCTTTGGCTTCGACAAGCTGCCCGAGTGCCCAGACTTCTCAGCTAGTCCAAGTAACGTCGTCATCGCCGGATATGAAGGTGGCTTGGACGTATACACTGTTGGTAAGAGAGGCCTTGAACCTACCGCGAGCTTGAAGGGACTACGGGGAGGTGTTCAATACGCCAAGATCCTCCCATGGACGCTTGACAACGATAAAAAGTCACTTTTCCCTCTCGTAGCGGTGGTTCTGCATGGTCCTGTCCTACCTAGTGGCGCATCTGACCCTGCACAAGACGATGGACCAAGTCCCAGACCTGATGGAGCGGCGAGTCCTCGGTCGGTCTATACTCACCAGGAGGGCTTCCAAGGAAGACAGAGCATCGACGCCTATCAGACTTCCGTCGAGGTTTACTCGCTGAGAACAAGCCAACTCGTTGATGTGTTGCTTCAGGCACCAAAGATACAAATCAACCCTGAAATCTCCGTTACAAACCCTATCTTCAGACCGCCTCCGCCCAGCGGTTCCTTCACAATTCGGGCAGATTCCGGTACGCTCGCAGTATGCTCAGGCGTTACTGGCGAATGTTGGGTTTACTTGCAGCTATTGGAGGACCAGAACGGCCATGTCTTTACATGTGTCGGCAAGATCTGGACTAGCCTGCAACAAAGCGCCCGAGGTGAGGTACCAGAGGAGACGGATAAGACACGCACTTCAACGGCACCCCCGCGCTCGAGCCCGCAAACACCTATTCTTGCTATCAGTGGACGATGGATCGCTTACTGTCCCGCGACCCCGTCATCTCAGGTTTCTCTCAGAGCTCATGTGCCACTCCCGATATTGGGCAAGGCACCTGGGCTTGCTACTGTAACTCCGCCACAGCTGCCATCATCTTCTGCATCGGTAGATCTCCCGATATCTGACAGTGTTGTGAATAAGATTATGCGCGAAACGACCCAAGAGCTTATCCAGGGCGCAAAATGGGTCGGACAACAAGGCTGGCAGGCTTGGAATTCCTATTGGAATAAGTCAAGCCCCCAATCACAAACTCAACAAGCACGTTCGCCTCCCCAAGGCTGGGCGGGCACTCGATCACCTCGTGGTGATTCGTCCCAATTCCCTCCTACACATGGATCGACCGGCCAGACCATGGCAAAGGATCCAGGTCTCGTGTCCATCATTGACACAGAGTCTCTCCTTTCTTCGTCTTCAATCCATCCAATTACTACGTTCGCACCGCCTCTGGGATGTAGCTTTCTTTCATTCTCCCCATCATCCTTGGCTTTATTTACAGCCAGCAGCAAGGGTGATGTGCAGACAGTTTGGGACCTCTTACGTATTCAACATACCAGATCATCCCCTCTGCAGGCTACAGTTAGCCCAAACACAAGCACGGGCCCTCAAGTTCGACAAATTGCACAGTTCTCGCGAATGACAGTTGCACGCATTGTTGATGTTGCTTGGACGCAGGCGCAGGGCGAACGATTGGCTATGGTGACCGAGCGTGGTACCGTTCATCTTCTCGACATGCCCTCGAGTGCGTTCATGTGGCCCGCGCCTCGTCGCCGTCAGGCTGTCCAGGAAAGTGGCACTGCGACACCAGAGCAGCCAAGTACAGCCGTCTCTTTGGCAACTGGCGCTTTTGGTGCTGCTTACCAAGCTGCGAAACCATTTGTGTCACGACCCCGCCGCAGCAGCGGCAATGTATCCAATGTTCCCGGCAGTAGTCTGAAAGACTCGGCGGCCATGGGAGGACGAGTAATTGCTGCTAGTATCAGCAGTTCGCTCGGCAAGACTGGAACCGCCATCAATCAGCTTCGGCACACCGGAGAGAATCGCGTTTCCTTGCCGCTTAGTTCGGGTCTCCCTTCGACATCATGCGTCACCTGGGTCAAAAGCCGGAGACATCAAGGGCTCTTTGTGGTTGGAAACGGCTTGGTGCGGGCGTTCTCCTGTAGAACTCGCCGATCTAGCGTACAGGCTGGCAGGAAGGTGACACGTGCCAGCAGATATCATGATTACAACGTGCCGAACCTACCCAGCGACCTGGTAGCTCCAGCTGTGCGACAGATGGTGGACTTGGGCACCCAAGATGAGATTCTCGACCTTTCAGATCGCGATATGGACGCGGGGAACACCTTGACACTCAACCCTCGATCTCGTGTGACATCGGCAGATCACCATATGGAATCGTCGATCCCCCAGGCTGAAATAGAGTCTAGTGCGCCCTATCAGCCTTTCCACACAGACCGTCGGGTGACGCTTTGCGAGTACCGCAGAGGTACAGTTGATCAACTCGAAGTTGTTTCCGCCATGCTGGCCGATACCAACCTAGAAGAAAATGCACTATCAAAGAAAAAGAAGAAGAAGGGGCAACCCATGGAAACACATGCATCTAGAGAAATGTCAATCACAGCGGCTTGGGCCTTTGGCCAGGATATCCCAGTGGTTCGACTGGATTTGGGCTTGCCCACTGTTACCGAGGAGGAGTACGATGGCCCTGAGGATCATATTGCTCTGCCCCCTTCTGCCATGGAGCGGGTGATGCAGTATGGCGACGAGGCGCAGATTGTGGTGACGACGAGGAGACGTCGCGGAGCTCAAGGGGGCAGTCAAGGTGAGGATGGCTTCTTTGAGGATGATTGCGAAGTTCTCGATTTTGCAGATCAAAGGGTGTAAGTGAGATGAGGAGTCTCCTCTCAACAGGCAATATGTGCAGGGGTTTTGTGGTGTATGGATTGTTGAGCTTTACTTCATTCTATGGATTTGATGCTCGGGATCAACAATCCATTGCTTATGCTATTCAAATATGGAACCAAATTCCACCTGTCCATACTCAGTACGAATAGCAGCATTTAACCAAATCATTAGGTCCGGAATGTTGGAGTTGGCTGATTCTTGACGTGTAGGCATTTTGCCTCATGTAAGGAACACTCTTTAGCACGGAATTCGCTTTGGCAGTTCATAATGCCTTATTAAATAAATAGAAACACATTAGATACCCGTTCCTCGTAGTGCTTTTTTATTTATTTCTTCTGCATAAGTTGTTGCCCCACGGTATCTAATGTTCAAGTCGTCGGCATGTTCCGTGGTGCGATTAGGTGACTTTAAATGCCAGTGAACAATTAAAAGGTGTATGAATCGGCATATTAATCGTCTAGTTGGCCTTCTTAACGGCAGCCTTGGCCTTTGCAGCCTTCTTCTGGTTGCTCCGAATCATGACCATGCCAAGGAACGAGCCAACAACAGCGGAACCGAGGAGGATGATAATGACGGGGATGCGAATAGCCCAAACGCGGGGAGGGAAGAAGTTCTGGAGAGGGTGATCGTCGTCGACAAAGGGCTGAAGCAATTGTTAGCTCACGACGCATCTACAAAACATGGGTACCCAGGGCAGGTAAGGGCTGCCATATGATGGCACCGAGGCCGGAGGGGTACTTACCATGAGAAGAGTCCAGATGGTGTAATAGGTGAAGACGACGGAAGCGGCCACGAGCATGGCGAGACCGACGATTTTGTCCAACTGTAGTAGAAGAATTATGTTAGTCGAAGAATAGCGAGGGGTTGCCGTGATGCCCCAGGAGGAACTGCGTAAAGGGGACAAGCTTGTAGATCAGGGCTTCGAAGTGGACATAGTAAGTAAGTAAGTACTGACCATTGTTAAAGATGCGCAAGGTGAGCGAACGTATACCTTGGATGAGTCGAAGAGAGTGAGGCAGAAGAGTAGAAATAAAGGAGCGTTGGAAGGTTTGTCAAAGTGTTAAGAGTAGACCACCTGCTAAAAGGCCAAATGTACAATGGACGCGATTTCACCTCCTGATGACCAGCAGCAGCTTGTCTCGGAGTGGGTGGAGCAGACGCCACTGCACCGCCACATTTGATCATTTGCACCTGCATGAGAGACGAAATTAGTAGGTCACTTTATGCTACTTAGATCAAGGTTCTTAGACTATATATTTTTATACTTTTTTTCTTTCTTTTTTGGCATCCTTACACTTTTGCTCAGGGCTTTTCAATTATCAAAGTTCTTAACAAAGGTTAATCTGTCCGTGCAGATTGTTTAGATGAGCTCTATACATTTCCTCTTAAGACAAAGTTTCCCAATACAACTGTGACAGGGCAGCTGCTTGTACTCTATGATACCAGTGACTGATTTATAAGACTTATGAGCACGGCCATTTTTTCTGCTACCCACTAGACACCTGCAGGTCTGTTGTGGCTCAGCATAACTTTAGCTGGTTGTCTACCTAGGTAACTTTTTCAGTCGCGCTGTGATCCAGCCTCAGAATAAGTTAGCGACTACAACTTCTCAGCGCGTTGAAGAGTTCCACCACAATTCAACTACACCATCAGAAAATTAGGGGACAGCAACAGAAACAACAAAAACATTGACTGCGACTATAACTGCGATTTTTGCTCACGATGGCTTCCGCCCCGCGATTGCCTTCTCGTCAAAAACGAGATGCTGCGCCTATGCGAACGGAGGAGGAGAAGCAGGCTGCCGCAAAGGCCGAGTACGAGAAGCTTCTGACAATGAGATCCGGCGGAACCTACATCCCACCCGCGAGACTGCGCGCGCTCCAGGCACAGATCACCGACAAGACGAGCAAGGAGTACCAGCGCATGGCATGGGAAGCACTCAAGAAGAGTATCAACGGTCTTATCAATAAGGTCAACACAGCCAACATCAAGTTTATCGTTCCCGAGCTGTTTAATGAGAACTTGGTTCGTGGTCGGGGTCTGTTTTGCCGATCGATCATGAAGGCACAGGCTGCCAGTTTGCCTTTCACACCCATCTACGCCGCCATGGCCGCGATTGTCAACACCAAGTTACCTCAGGTCGGAGAGCTCCTGATACGTCGCCTCGTCCTACAATTCAGAAAAGGATTCAAGCGAAACGACAAGGCTGTTTGCCTCTCATCCACTACTTTCCTTGCGCATCTTATCAATCAACAAGTCCAGCACGAAATGCTTGCTGGTCAAATTTTGCTCCTCCTTCTCCACAAACCCACCGACGACAGTGTTGAGATTGCGGTCGGTTTCTGCCGTGAGGTTGGACAATACCTGGAGGAGATGCAGAGCTCCATTGCGAACGTAATCTTTGATCAATTCCGAAACATTCTGCACGAAGCCGATATCGATAAGCGAACGCAGTACATGATCGAGGTGTTGTTTCAGGTGCGAAAGGACAAGTTCAAGGACAACCCGGCCATCAAGGAAGAGTTGGATTTGGTTGAAGAGGAGGATCAGATCACACACCGAGTCGACCTAGAAGGCGAGATTGAAGCTCAGGACGGGCTCAACATCTTCAAGTTCGATGCAGAGTGGGAAGAGCATGAAGAGGCGTACAAGAAACTCAAAGCTGAAATTCTGGGCGAAGGCAGCGACGATGAAGATGACGACGAGGACGAATACGAGAGTTCCTCTGAAGATGAGGAGGACGAGAAGACAAAGGCCATGGAGATCAAGGATCAGTCCAATGCCGACCTAGTCAACTTGCGCAGGACCATTTATCTCACCATCATGTCCAGTGCCGACCCTGAGGAAGCTGTTCACAAGCTCATGAAGATCAACCTTCCCGCAGGACAGGAGCCTGAGCTTCCCTCCATGATTGTGGAGTGTTGCTCGCAAGAAAAGACATACACCAAGTTCTTTGGCATGATTGGCGAGCGCTTCGCTAAAATTAATCGGCTTTGGTGCGACCTCTTTGAGCAGGCTTTCGCCAAGTACTACGAAACCATCCATCGATACGAAAACAACAAGCTGCGCAATATAGCAATGTTATTCGGCCATATGTTCGCTTCAGACGCTCTGGGCTGGCACTGTCTATCTGTCATTCACTTGAACGAGGACGAGACCACGTCTAGTAGCCGTATATTCATCAAGATTCTATTCCAGTTTATTGCGGAGGAGACCGGCATGCCCAAGTTGAGGGCACGTCTGACAGATGAGACACTCCGGCCTATCCTGGAAGGGCTCTTCCCCAGAGACAACCCCCGCAACATCAGGTTCTCCATCAACTATTTTACAAGTATCGGTATGGGCGCTCTTACAGAAGAGATGCGAACACATCTTCAGAACATGCCCAAACCCGCTTTGCCTGCTCCTGCAGCCGCAGCGGATTCAGACTCGGATTCCGTCTCCAGTTATTCATCCTACACAGGTTCTTCTTACTCAAGATCTCGATCTCGCTCTCGAACACCACCACGCAAGGTTGCTGACCGAGGTCGATCCCTTTCTCGATCCCCTGGCCGAAAGAGCAGGGGACGTTCATACAGCTCCTCGAGGTCAGGGTCATACTCACGATCTGTATCTGCACGGGGAAGAGGTCGCAGTCAGTCCGGTTCCGCTAGCCCTCCCCGACGAGGTCGTCGTTACACCAGTGGGAGCCGCTCGCGATCTCCAGCCCCTCGTAATGGCAAGGGCCGAGCTCGTAGCGCCTCTTACTCGTCTCGAAGCCGATCTCGCACGCCGCCACGAGATAAGGCTAAGCAGTACAGCCGTTCACCTTCATACGACTCACGATCCCCGCCACCAAGGAGGGCTAATCCTGAGAGCTTGTCGCCCCCACCTGCGCGCAATGGACGTCAACCTTCATACACGCCCTCACCCAGCCCGCCACGCCGTGGAGGAAACAAGTCTTTGAGCCCTGTGCCGCCAAAGAGAAGGCGTTACAGTGATAGTGTCTCCAGATCACCGCCACCGATGAAGCGAGGACGACGGGGCAGTTGAGATGGAGCAAGAGAGAGGGAAATCCACGAGACGATAGGTTTATAATAAAGAAAGGGGTTACCTTGTAATTAGTTGAGGTGTTTCATCAGCGGGACCTACCAAAATTGAGAATGATTGAGGCATAGGTTGTTTATTGTTTTTACTAGCTTTGTGTTCGCCGACTAGTGAAGTTGATGGGCTTTATTCATGTATCATATCAAGCCCTTGTTTCATGCTTTGTGTGTGGAATCCAAAGATCAAGTTCCTATCCAAAATAGTCCCTTGTATGAATATGAGTTGACCACCTGGGAGTCTAGCTACAATCGCAATTATCTTCATATTCCACAATTGTCAGCACTTCATCATCTGTTTCTCATGATTCTACTTAGTAAAATTATTAAACCACCCAGTATGGAATTGCATTCGTAACCTGATAACTCAGCCAAACCCACCTCATACAAGACGTCTACCTCGATTATCGCAGCTGTGCTCTATGGTAGTAGGAGGCTGACTACTGGGTACCAGAAAAATGGCCTCCCAAGCTTGAGGGTATAAAAATAAGTAGAATAAAAACTATATTCGAAGGAGCATAAATTGACCTACTACTTTATAATGAGTAGGTGCTTTGGAATATCACAAGATATCTGATGGAATTGTTTGTATGTTCTCTGTTTCCGTCATATGCTAAACATGCTGCGGATAGCGTACATTCTGTTAGGTACTGGTGACAGCACATGAACAGAATTGTCGTTTGTTTGGATCTTTCCTTGATAAAAAAAAAAGATGGCTTGTATGAAGCTGCTTGCTATCTAAAACCATATGGCAAGCGTTATTGATGGTGTTTGTGGCTAACCTACCAAGGCTCCTCCTGCTGTCCTTGTTGGTAAGTTAAACGAAGGAGATATAAAAAACAGCTTGATTGCCTATTTCTAGGTTCAAATTAAATAATCTGTACGCTTCACCATTTGCCTTTCGTGCTTTTCTAGATCGTTCAGCATCACCGTAACTGCCATTTTGACATCTGACATTCTTTCACAAACCATCGTGGTCATCATGGAGATTATCACTTTTTTCATCATCATTCCTATGTTTGTTGCGTTCATCGCTAACAACTCTATGCAAACACCGTTTGGAGCTATTATTGTAGCAGGTGTTGTTGCGTTCTTCGCATTTATTGGAGGTAAATACGCTCATCATCTCCCTGCTCCTCAGAGTTGGTACTGACGATCACCACGTGCTTCATTGCTATTCAAGAACAATTCGCAAAACGTAGAGTGTGGGGCCACTAACCTGCAGAACTCGACGCCTATGATAAGTTCTACCACGTCTATGGCATCTGTTGTGACGAAAAGGGGCACTGTCGCTCTTGTTTTACACAGTACGCTGAACGGTTTAGATATGGGCATGAGTTCGACGGGTAGTTCAAGCAAGCCTTTGCCAAATAGAATGGGTAAGGTTGTGCGGTTTTGCGTTCTAAGGAGACAAGGGAGCACTGAGCAGGATTACAAAACAGCGAGTGACGATACTTGATACTGCGCTTCGACGAATTATGCATTGTCAGCTTGTAGCAAGACTAGTCATCCGAGGTTATAGGACAAAAGGAAGCGTTGTTATTTGACCAATGATTATACCAACTTAGCTGCTTATTATCCACAATATTTCTTTCCCTGGGCTGTTTCTATATTTGCGATGAGCTTGCATACAGCCTATCCATTGCCTTGCTCTCGATCAAACAGAGCTTCTCGCTATCCACGACTTGCTTCCCAGTAACATCAGTATGCGTCTACGGCTTCTTTTCTCCCTTGCTATCTTTCGCGTTGCTACCACCGTCCGAGGGCTTATCTCCGTCACACTTGAAGTCCCCTTTCGCTTCAGAGTAAGCAGTTCCAGCACCCAGACCTACACCAGCAGCCTGGACAATACCGTGAACGATAGAGACTCCATATCCAGCCATCCCGTAGCTTTGAAGTGTAGCAAAGGCACTGTGGCCAACGATATTGCCGATTCCTGCGTGCACACCTGCAGCCGCAGATCCTTCAACACAGTTAGAAAACATGCAAGAATCAGGACATGGTACTATCTGACCTGCAGCTATTCCGTTCGCCCCAAAACCAGCAAGCGCAGCAGCTGGTGCAACGACCGCAGCTGGGGCTGCTACCATGATACCGGCTGCTCCCATAGCTGCTGTTGCTCCAGGGTTCTCTTTCGCGTACTGGAAAGTACTGTTCGCAGCCTTGTTCTCCAGTCAGCAGTCGGTACTCAGTAACGGTGAACTTAAGTAACTCACGTTTAAGAAGTAAGATTTTGCCGACGCCAGCATAATTGTTGATGAATAAGAATCAAGTCGTGTATCTTGGGTGTAAGTGATGGCGGCGGTGGTGATATTGAGGAAGAAAAAGATGTCCTGCCAGAAGATGTCCTGCCAGAATATGGGATGCCAACAATAAATATCTTGGCTGTCAAATTCTGCGCCTATTCATCGAAGGCACTATCACTTTTGAAGTGTGAATATCGAGAATGCCTTGCGAGGGTTGGACCAACATCTTATAAGCGCCAGGATGTGCATATGTTGGTTTGCATGGGGGTGTAACATGGGATACAACCAACAAGCACTGAGGCCGGCCAAAGAAGCGGCCTTGTTCAAAGCTGCCCAGCCTAAGAATACATGTTTGATAACTATGACTCGACTTTACCGTGGAATGATCGCATCGATAAGGGAGAACAAATTTGATAGGAAGTAACAGCCCAAGGTGAAGAAGACCCAGGCACACTGATGACTAGGTATTCATACAGGCAATGATACTCACTCGTCTAATAAATAAGAGTCTTGTTTCACAATATGTATCAAGTTCTCACTAATCGAGACAGGATCGAGATTCTACTGCGGACATCCCGATGTCCTTGCTGAAGTTTATCTGGATTGCACTATACTCATGCTTTAGCCAATCGCTATAGTGGAATAACATCAACTTTATGAGATCTTTAGATTACCTAGGTCAAACCCGATTTCACTGCTAGTCTCTGGGTTCTTCGTGTCATACAAATAACGCCGTTCTGATGTATAAAGTGCCATCTTTCCAATAGAAAATCCCTCCTCTGGTCAGAATTCATATCAATACTACAACATTAAACCTTTCAGTCACTCTTCATGAACTTTCTAAGTCCCATTTTCAATTCTCTTGGCTGGACAGCGCTTGGCCCTCAAGCAGGTCAGTCTATATTTCGTTGTCCTAGTTGTACATTTTACTGACCCATGTATCTGTATCTCAGCCAGTACTGCATCATGGCTCTAGTCTTCGTACGGAGACATCCCTACTCGCAGCCTCTTTGCAATAATACAGAGCGCTCAAATGTTCGGGTATGGAGTAGATGTGATTGAGAAGGCTGTTAGGTATTTAAATATTGGGATGACACTGGCCGATGTCGTGAACTGGATGGCGACTGGTGCGAGTAATATGACCTGTCCATGAGCGAGACATCACAATACTCTACAATTCACTTCAATACCCTTCGATACACTATACTATTTAGTTCTACATATTTCTACCTTAGTACAAAAACACTTTAAACACAGTTTGTCGCATGTGACGGGCTTTGCATAAGTTTGTGTAACAAATAATCGTTCACCCGCATATGACGTGTTTCAGTATGTGAATCCTTCTCTAGATACCTACAAAAGTGTCAGTGATCGTGCCAGTGTTGGTAACCAGCTGGCACATTGATATCATCATGAATCTGGTAGGCCTCCCAAAACCTTCGTCTCACCCATTTCTTTCTAAACGCGCATCTCGATACTAAATTTATCGATCTTAGAGAACAGTCATTTGTCATCGATCAAGATCTTGGCCATTTGTTTATTGTAGGTCCCAGGTTTTGAAAGCGGAATACTAGCTAAGCTTACATCTTCTGAAGTCTCCTGCTCGACGAACAAAATGCCTGCTCGATCCAACCCAGGAGCTGTGGCTGCTATTGCCACCGGCGCTGCGATCGTCGCAGTTCCTGCTATTGTCGCGAGTCCTATTCTTGGCGCCTTGGGCTTTGGCGCCGCTGGTATTGCTGCAGGTTAGTCTCGTCTTGAAGCCATGTACATGAATTTCGCTGGCTGACTGTCTATCTATAGGTTCTGCCGCCGCTGGAATCCAAAGCGGGATTGGAAGTGTTGGTGCGGGCAGTCTTTTTGCAATTCTCCAGTCTGCTGGTGCAGGAGGCTATGGCGTTGCTGCTGTTCATGGAATCATTCAAGCTGTTGGAGTGGCAGTTGGTGCTGGAGGCATCGGTGCCTGGTTCCGTGGCCAGGGTGATGAGGAAGAGGGCGGCTCTAACCACGGCGATGAAGATGGTTCCAGTGACTCTGGTGATGAAAACGGCGGCGAGAAGGAAGGGTCTGTAAAGGACAACTCGACCAACGATGGACACTCGAAGTCGCCCAAATAAGGGGTATCGACAGGGCATCACACTCCCCTTCACACTAATGCGACGAAATATGACTGCCTGAGAATAAACCACAGATGTACCCAGACGATGTGTCAACATGTTTACTTGGTTATGAGGGAAAGTCTTTGGACAAAATCTTTTACTTAGAATACTAAGAAGAATTGTTGAGTGCATCAAGAATACAAAGTTCACCAAATAGGGGGGTTTCTATGCCATACTCAATGCACGAGATAGCCCATTTTACACAATAAGGATATGATGAGAGATAAATGTGTCTTTTGAACCCCGTCCAACCTTACGCCATCTATATTGTATTGACTCTGAGTCATCCTAAACGCCTATAATCTATCCGGCCAAAGCCTCATCCTTTGCCTTTATATCCTCTTGCTTCCCCTTCTCTTCCTGTTTCTCCTCTTCCTTTTTCTCCTGGGACTTAGCCTTGTCCTTCTTACTCATAGTCAAGGCCCCCTTCTTGAGAGCCTCGTTGGGCAGTGGGCGGATGATTGGCTGCACAACCCAGACCGGCCTCTTACAGCGCCGTTGAGTACCCTTTGAGCTCTCTGTCTCTGGGGGGTCTTCCTCTCCGTCTGCCAGTGGTGTCTCGGCAATGCTCTCGCCGTTTGTGCGCTCGTACTCGAGGAGTTCCTCTGCAACTTTGCGCTCTACTGCGGAGAGAACGCGTTCGTAGGCTTCTATGTCGCCTGCACGGCTCTTGCCCAGCATATCTCGCACGTCGGTATGCTTGGAGACAAAATGTCGCAGGAGATGGAACAGGTGTGGTTGCATAGCTGCCATGTTGGGCCCCTGTTCTCCCTTCTTGCCTAGATCCTTTCTTCGCTTCTTGGATGGTGGCTCCTCCTCGACAACCTCGCTCTCCTTCATCCATTCTGTATCGTCGCCGGGCATGAAAAGTGGTCGTCGCTCGGGTGGTTTATTTCCAAAGACGTGTTCGTGAAGGATGTCCATGTACCGTCTAAAGACAGCGTCCACTCTGTAGCCCCCCTTGCCATCTTTTCCGCGCCAGTATTCTCGCCCCTCCTCACCTACAGGTGGTGGTTTGGTGAAGATAGCTGGGTCACTCAGATTGCCCTCGGCGCTCATCACACCATCGGCCCCTGTGGCTTCAAGACACTTCTCGATGTCTCCTTCCTGAAGAATGTTCCCATTGGCAAAGATGACGGTTTCCTTGGGTAGGCTGTCCCTTAGGAATCGAATCATCTGCCACTCAGCTAGGCCTGTCAAGTGGCCTTTTTGCTCTCTCCTACGTCCATGAACCGTGAGAATGGATGCACCAGCCTTGAGGACATTCTGCGCATACGCCAAAGTCTCCTCTTTGGTATCCAGGATTCGAATCTTGGCTGTAACAGGCACAGGTAACTCTTTGTGCAAGATGTTGATCAAGCGGAAGATGAGATCCTGATCCTCCTGAAGGAAAGCACCGTACTTTCCTTTCCGTGCGATTCCCTGTGGACATCCGAGGTTCAAATCGACTGCATCGCAGTAAGGTGCGACTTGCTTGGCAGCGGAGATTAGCGCATCGGGATCGTTTGCACAGAACTGGACGAAGAGTGGGCGGTCGATAGAAGGGTTTCCGTCGAGCCAGGGGGTTTCGCCGTCAGCCTTTACGGCCTGGAAGTGCGCCCTTCGGTATTTATCGTCCTGAGAAAATAGTCGGGCGTGAAGCATCGGCGTATAAGCGAGAAGGCTTTTTTGTTCGGTGGGTGAAATGAAACTTCTGGTGAGCATGCGCCAGGCCTGCAAAACATCAATATACGTTATTATCATGGGGCCTGAGACGACCTACGAATTCAGACTGATCCACCATGGGCGCAACAATGAACTTGGGGCTGCCGATACTCTCGTAGAAGGCTCGACCCTCCAGCTTCGATGGGCGTTCCACCGCGGGGCTATTCTCTTTGGACGTCATTGTCGACATGCGCTGTGCGAAACAGAAAGATTGACGCTCGGGGATCAATGCAAGCAAGGGCCCCGGAGTCTTCCGGAGCCGGTTCAGACGAGCAAACTTCTCCAGATTGTAGAACGGGATATGGGCGCAAAAGCGGTTCCTGTCGTCAAAGATAGAGGTAACTTGATATGCCCCGCGTACGTAGAGGAAGAAAAAAAAAGATAAATGTTGTCGGCCCCGCCATGAACCGGGAAGTGGGTGAGGCTCGAAAATGTGTGGGTTTATGGCTGAGATTGGAGCTTTCCCCAGACGAGTTTAAGCTTTTCATCTTGTAGTGGTACTTGGCTCTAAAAGTACCTGACGATATAGAAGGTACTGCCACTAAAGCCAAGATCTCGCGATCAACCGAATGCCACCAAAGAAGCATTGTTAGTAAAACAGATCCCCTGAGTTACATGCAACTATAGAGTATAAAGCAGACACCAGATTTGTAAATCACTTTCAACATGGATACGCAATGCAGCTCAACTCTCTCACTTTATAGAAACAAGTGGTATGCGTTTTCCTCGATCACGGTTTAAAGTAAAAAATAAAGGCTTTGTTTTTTGACCAAATTGGTCATGTTTCGTTATGTCCGCTCCATTGAGTTTTTTTTTCGTGTCTTAAAAAGACTAGTAATGAATAATAATAATAATGGAAATGGCGTTCCCAGTTCAACGGTGATCGTCTGCTTACAGAATGCCACGCGTCATTACATAGGGATGCAAGCACACTCACTCCGCTACTGCAAGCTCCCAGAATATGATTTCCGTCACGCTCCGTTCCTGCTCGAACCCAAAAAAAAAAAATGAAATTGAAAGAGAGAGATGAGTAAGGCAAGATTAAAGAAATGTATGACTCCCTGGTCTAAATTCCACATGACATGTAGAGACTGGTCAGAGTAATTGAACGCCATTCACCTAACAATGCTGTCCCAAACG